AGCTATGGGTGTGTCCGAGACGAATAGGATTTGATAATTCCTCCAGCGTAGGCGACCTCACAAGTTAACTTCCTGTAGATGACATTACCTAGACACCTTATGGTTTTAGAAAATCTCACCGAGTATAATACAGGTAATCAAAACTGGTCAACACTTGAGTATACACTTGATGTGCCACCAAGCAGAACCATAGGTACGGGGCTGTTCCGCCCTCCATTCCTGTTTTTCTGCCGTCGCAAAACAAATATAGGCCGATCATGGCCAACTTCTGGTCTATGAGCTGATATGCTCATGTTTCAGATATTCCTATCAGATAAGTATTATTAACGATGCTCACTTCACACTACTCATCCATTCTGTTCAGTGAAGTCGCAACGTTTGAATATAAACTGATGATCCTTTTGATTTGAGAAGTATGAATGTCCTTTTCTAGTATATCTGAATTAAGTTTATGGGTATGAATAGGAAACCTAGATACGTAGGGTTTTCAAAGTTGGTGGTTTTTGTCTTTAAATACAAGCGGATTCCAAATCGTAACCTAGGTCATTTGGCACATGAGCCTCAAGAGTAGCAACCGATATTTGGAGAGAAGGTAAGATTATTTTCATTGCTCAATGTTTGAGATCTCCATCCTTCTTATCTGATTGTACCACTTACTGGATTTATATATTCCTAAGCTTAAAGGACAGCTGTATGAACTTTTGCTCGCGAATAAAATAGATTATGTTGTCAGGGTCTGTGTTTTCTGAGATAGCTTTCACAACAATACTTCTTTCGCTAAAAAAAGTTGGTTGGACTCCCTTGGGATGTTTATGATGATGCCGCAGCACAAAAACAGTAAAATAAGTGGCATATCAGCACCCCTTTCGGAGTTCAGCAAGTGACTACCCAGTAGAATATCCTCCATAAACGATTTACGAAGTCTTAGATGATTTTGTTATTTGATTCGTTCACTTAGGTCAGCCATATAACCGATAGTAGTCCAAATTCCGAGTTTCCTATCTACATCGTCCCAAAGCATCATGTTGTTTTTGTCCTGAAAACTGAGAGGAAGATCAAAGCTGTCTCTAAGACTCGGAGCTGTTGAGGAATCGTCGAGAAAACGTAGTTATTTTTCAAGGTTTTTGGGAAAATTATGGTTCATTTTATTTGACAGTTGGATTACGGCCCAGATTCCCGTGTTTTTCGTCGACTGGTGAGACATTCTCAGGACTAGATTATATGGTTAATACATTGACTGATCTTCTTGGGAGACGTGAGGCACAGAGCATTTCTGACGATGAATTTCTATTCCTTATAGTCACATTGATGGGTGTACAATCACCTACAATAGAATTTTTGAGTGCCAAGGTTGCAACAGGAGAGGCTGTGCTAGAGCACACAACTTTACAGAGAAGACATACCACTGTGGATGTTATGATAGTGCTGAGTTTTACCCTATCCTCATTGATGTCGGTGCTTATTCCACGAATACAATTGTCCTTGGAGACCCCCTTTTCGCCTCACTGTGTATCTCTTAGTGTTCATTCATTTCGGGACTAGTTTATTTTGCGCTGCTGAAGAGTGTTTCGTAAACCTATCAAGAGATTGATGATACTGCTCAGAATATGTTTACCATCTTTTAGTATATCAGGATGATGTTGATACGTCAGTCAGGCTGCTTACGTAAGCTCTTTGTGATGAAATATAAGTTGTCAACCGAGTGTGAACAAACGTCTACAACCGTTAAAAATGGTGGTATATTCAGAACGAATAAAAGAAATGCAAAAAAGTGGACATGTAGGACCAAGTTTTTTTCATAATATCACTTTTGTCTTTGTAACTATTATAAAAGACCTCCTCCCAAAAATGAGAACATATCATAAGACGACTATCTAATCAATAAGTCACATCACTGTCTATTTTGACTCACTATATCGTGAAAATCAGCAACCGAATGTTTAGCACTTTTGAAGAACAGTCTGGAAATAGACTAACATTTTGAAGTGAATGGGGATTTGTTAATAAGATGTCATACCGACTGATTGCTGCTGTGTGCACTATTGTTGATCTGTAGGTGTAAAACACCGAATTTTCTTAGTTATCTCACGTTCAGATTCGGGGATCGTGTGTTTGGAACTAGTACTGCTATAGATAGTATAAACGCTTAAATGGAAGTCTAACAAGCCTATTAGAGTGAAAAACAGTGTATTAAGTTGAGTCAAACTCACATTTAGCTAATAAGTCGAATGAAACTCAAAAGAAAGATAATCTGCTGAACATTATGCTTAGGATGGATTATTATTTGAAAATAAGCGATGGTACTTCTGTTGCGTAAGTTTGAGAACCACAATCAATATCATTTTATAGCCTCATCCATGAGGCATGTGCCATGAGATTGTTGCAGTAGATCAAAAGCCATACGACCGCTGCTACCAACGTAGTGTCAATACAAGTTAACGAATAGATAACTAAAGTTCTCTACCCTCCATCAGTCTAAGTAACGTCCATTCAGAAAGTTGTGGCTTGCTGTCCTTGATCTAAATAAATAAAGAAATCTGCACAGAGCCATCAATATCGATGAAGATTTACAAGAGATTTACGAGAATGTAGCTCGTTTGGAAGGGTGGACATATAACAAGATTAGGCATTCAGCCTCCAAAGTCGTCAAATCATTCCCTTTCAAGCTTAAGAGAAGCGACCCGCTGTTGAATCTCACTAGCAACTCGGTGAATTTTGATTCACGATTTTTTTCGACATAAAACATGGACTATTGGTGCCACTATCAGTGAGGCTCAAACATATCTTTTACTATGCTCCATTTTCTCCGGAGATAGCAAGACATTTCGAACGCCAGGATACACTTGAAAGACATACACATTATAATCCAACCATCATTTGCACTATATCTTCTCGAGAAATCATGTGAGAATTGAACAGCAGCCTTAGATAAAAATCTGTCTGTCGATTTGATATTCATAGATTTTACCAAAGGATTTGACAAGGTTTCACACTTAGGTCTTATGCAGAAGGTCACAAACTTCGGAATAATAGGCACTGTACAGGAGTGGATAGGAAACTTCTTGTGTGACCGCAGACAGAGAGTGAGGGTCAATGGGACGCTACCCGATTGGAAGCCGGTAAAAAGTGGTGTAACCTAAGGCACCATCTTAGGCCTTCTCTTCTTCCTTCTTTACGTAAATGAGTTACCGCTGTTACTTAGCTCGTCGACATTATTATTTGTGGATGACGTCAAAATCTGGTGAACAATAAGAAATGAGACTGATCATCTGGATCTTCAAGCTGACTTAGACGATTTAGTTAGATGGGCTAGAGGTTGAGGTTTAGAAATTAATTATAGGAAGAGTGTGCTAATGCACATCGGTCACGGCAATACTTACCATTACACTAGTGATGGTAAACCTCTTCCATGCGTTCAAGAACATAAAGACTTAGGAGTAATGATAAGTCATGACCTAAAAACAACTAAGCATTGCAACGTAGCCGCTGTCAAACGTTTTCGTGCGTTATGGTCACTTCGCCGAGCGTTCAAATCTTTTGACGAGGAAATGTTCCGAATTTTATATCCCACCTATGTATGACCACATTTAGAGTACTGTATCCAAGCAGCTAGCTCATGTCTGGTAAAAGATACTAACTCACTTGAGCGTGTCCAGCGTGTGGGAACGAAATTGGTGAAGGGCCTTTCTAAACTCCATTACAATGAGCGTTTAAAACGCATAAACCTTTTCCCCTTGTCGTATGGTAGGACTCGAGGTGACGTTATACTGGCATTCCGTATCTTTAATTATGATTTGGGTGTCAATGTGTCTTACCTTCTTGCTCCCTTTAGCACTGATAATCTCCGAGGTCAAAGCAAGAAGGTTCATAAACCGCGATCTAATAAACTTAAAGTGGAATTCCGTTTTTCTCATAGAGTAGTCAATGATTGGAACGCTTTGCCCGAACAAGTGGTATCATCCTTACCAGTGAATACTTTCAAAGAGAAACTAGACCTTCACTGGAAGGCAATCTGTTAGGATTAACACAGGTTCATCAACCTACTATCCTTATTACTGAAGACTGAATATTTCGGGAACAAAAGATGAGCCATCATACAAGTAGGTTACAATATTAGGATAGCAATTATGTTACCCTTATTTGACACCATCAAAAACCTGGAGTCGTGAGCCAACATCAGGACGGAACGGTGAACAAAATTAATTACTTTATTCCATCGAATATAAACTGGATTGGAAATCGGACGGGGCGCTCCATCTAACACACAAGGTCATTGTAAGTTACTTTCTGGCTCCGAATAATGTCTTTTGTTATTTTAATTAATGATTTACCTAAGCTTTCGTGGTATATTTTTTACGATGTGCAAATAACGAAAATGTCATTGGGCTAAATTCATGAATATTTTGATAAATTTTAAGCAAGCTTCCTGAGTTTTTGACGATAATTTGTCACCAATCCATGTACTTAGCACGACTCGTTCCCTCCAGTATGCCCTGGTTGGGTCATCGAAATAGGAGAAGCAGAATACGTCAGAATAGTTGATACAATATCATGGTGATGACGTCAAAGTTATCAAACAGTGGAACTACCTGAGGTCATTTTTCATGTTTATAATTTTGCTAGGTATTTCTCATGAACACACGTTTATCATCATTAAGCGACTTAAAACCTGTCTTATCAATTAGATGAAACATTTTGTTTTCGGCTCGCAAGTAATTTTAAACAATGGTATATGTGCGGAACCGTTTTCTCTTAAACGCAATAATAATTGCTTACAGTTGTATAAATACGAGGCGGGATTAGCAAATGGAGATATATAAAACCGTGTATTGTTTTTGTCTGCCATTTTAGCCTAGTTAATTCACGTTGTTTGATAGTGGCTGTAATCAACTTGTCTTTTTGGCTGGATCTACTTGTGTATTTGTAATTATAACCCCCTCTCTTTTTATCGATAATTACTTCGGATATCTTCTTTTGTTTATTCATCTTTCCCAAAAGCAGTGATTTTATTGGTGATTGGGTAGACTGATTCGCTTTTTTGATGCTGTAACGTCCATGAAGAATGTAGCACTCACCAGCATTATCTTAGTTTATCATGCTATAACTTGTGATGTTTTCGCGAATAATTGTAAGTCTACACTCAGTACATCAAAAAAGTTGTAGATATTCTGCTTTCTAGTTTCGACAAGCTGTGTAAAGAAAGACATGACAAAGGATTTGTCGCCAATTATGTAGTGGATGATATTACAATTCGTGAACAGTTAGTGTTATCGTGGCCTGGGGATTTAAATACGTCCTCGTTTTATAATCCTCCAAGGAATCCGAAATTTGCATTGTGTCCTGGATTAGTCATTCATCCTTCTGGTCGTTTTGTAAAAAGATCATTTCCAGAAGGTCTAGTAAGTTCTGATTTTTGTAATCAAACTACAATAATATTTTCTGTGAAACAGAATTCAAACTTGCCAAAAAAGCTGACGTAACAATTAAAGCACTCACTTGATAGTCTTGTAATCCACTTACGATGCTACAAATCTTTTTTGGGAGAAAGAAATCTTTTTTTTCACCTTGTCCAACTACCCAAAAATTTTCAGACTGGTTTTTCTTTGCTAAGTTACTAAAAGCTAAAGCTATAAAAGCAATTTGCACTTCGCTTAGTTAGAATGCAATGATTGAAATGAGACAGTGTATTTTCCATTGCCCCTAGAACGTTGGTCGCTGATAAAATCTTGGTCCAAAAAACATTGACTCTGTAACCTATTTTGTATTAAATAAATGATAGATTTGTAATATCCCAATGAGTAGAAAATTAGATTTTCTGACTCATTGGGATATTAAAAATATATTATTTATTTATAACAATCAGCCCAGTGCTCAATTTATTCGGAATTATCAAATCAAACCTTGGTAATGATACCTATTTTTTATTGTTTATAATACCTGTAAATTGCTTATTCAGGAAGTATAACTGTGCGACTTGTTGCTGTTGTGTACTTTTGATATGTAAATTCATGCCTGAAAGGGATACAAAATTCAAATGCATCTACGAAGCACTGTTCATGTATAGTAATACTACTGAGAACCTAATGCTAGCATTATATAGTTTCAGAAAAATTCGTAGATTTTTTGATATGAACTTTCATTGAGCGAGTGAGTGAACTGGCATATTTCATTCTTTTTTTTTCCCAAGACCTGGCAGTAACTTTCTATGCCCTTGCATGTGTAAATATGGCGATACATTTGTCAGCTTAAGGAGGTCTTGTAGATAAGGTTTCAGTTGGCGGTCGTTTGTTCTGTCCAAATAACTGGCACTATAAGAGCACATAAAGGTAGAAATACTCGGAGTCGTGGTTTTGAACGTAGTTTCAGGAAACCATCAATAAAATTTTGTATGATTGGATCATTAGTATTGATTGCAAGAGCGGAAAAATGAGATCAGGGAAGGAGTGTTGACAATAAGGTTAGAAGAAATGTTAAGAAGCAATAATTAGATTTTGTTCTGTCCAATTTTTCCAGGTCTAAGTTGTTTTATATTAATAAATTTTTATCGTGATATGTAACATAAATATTAGTCAAAGTAATGTGTATACTTATTTTACATTTTTTTGTGAATAAATAGGCTCTCTTTTGGTTATTAAGAGCTAATATTCACTTTACTTGTCCTAAAAATGCTCATTTATCTGAATCATTTTATCTTCAATTGGAACAATGGATTGAATCGTTGGAGTGGAACACAAAACACTGGCGACAAGATGCTTTAAAGGATCAAGATGGTGATACCATAGATTCAACTAGTATCGGAGAAGCAGTGGGTTTAATTTTGAAACGCTAATCTCCTTATTATGTAGTTGATTACCATTGTAGTGTTGCTTACAGTTGGATAGACAAAGTGGAGTAAATGAAATATAACCTGCTATGGAATCTGCCACACGGGTCATTTCGTCTTGTTTGTGACTTGCTAGCTGCGCTTACTCGCTTTTTAGAGTTAATATCCACTATGGCGCTCGAACCCAGTACCTTTCACTTCAAACGGCAATGCGTTATCCACTTAGCTATTAAGTTCAGTTAGTCACTCATTTGTGTAATGAGTATGAATTTTCATGTAATTTTTAGTGGCTTGGATTATCTCAACTAGTGATAACCAGGGTATGTAATTTGAAGAGATATCATTCACAAATCGATATAATGTTTTAAAAACGATAGTCTATTTCCATTAGTTTATTTAAAACAAACTACTTATTCAGTTGTTTGAATCTATTGAAATTTTACAGACAGACATGTTCAATAGCCTTCAGGGAAGTTATGGCAGAACCATTTATCTTTTCAGTTTTTCAGTTAATTTTTCCGTTTTTTAATGTATAAATTCTAATAAGCAGTGTTTTAGTTGATAACACTGATTTAAAGTCCCATCAAGATACATTATCATATATCATTGGTACTTTAAAACACTGAAAGATTTAATCATGCCAGTGAAGTTCAATATGTAAAAACCACTCCAAAATTAAGTGATTTCCCTTAAACTGTTTCTTACTTCAAAAAAGTCAGATTATGTCTTATTAATGTCAGTTAAATTGATTTTCACTCCTTAACTCATGTTTACACAATGCTATTTATTTTATTGTATAAAAATAAGTAAGTATATAGTCATTACGTTGTATTAATATTTGGTGAGAAGCTTATAAACCTGGTTGGACATATATCACATAGTGCCTTCGTAAAATATGAAAACCATACATTAAATACATCATTTGTACATCGTCCATCAGTTGTCCTTTATATACTTCATGATTCTTCCAATTCTGTTTTTACTCCAGTTGCTCTCTGTTCTCCTTCTTATTCTTCTCAGTCTAACTTTCTTTTGGCAGGCTTTCCACTACAGATTGCTGTTACATACTACTTATATCTGTCAGCATAATTAGCATAAATCACAATAGTACGCGGTTGCCGAAATTGAAATTAGTAGTGTGGTGTTCGAACCTTTGACTTGAAAGCCGACAGCTTAACTGCTAGGCCACCGCTTCACAAAAGGGCTAGTTCAGGATGGAACTATTAAGTCTACACAATAAGCACCTTTATATGTATCTCAATATGTTGAGAACTTAACAAGAATACCTTTCCATCCAAATATGCTTGCCACAAACTGTTGTATTTGAATATTCAATGCACGAGAATGACGGTACGGTCATCTAATGGTGATGTTCGTCAAAGTGATCTGCTTAGCAGTCAGAAATCTTTTTACTTATGTCCTACTCATCGATTGCTTTCAGCCGTATATTATAGTTTCTGTCGTTTATCCAGGAGTCACACTACAGGATAATATGAACAAATAAAGGACTTAACCCCTTTAATTTATAGAGTGTTTGTGTTGTTTCTTTGCTGTCTCTTAAAAATAGCCTGATGAAATCTTACTGATCAACTGCTCGAGTTCTTACGTTGGTCAGTCTAACCATTGGAGTTTATCTGGATATTTACGAAGAATTCGCATTACTTGGAAGCTGAGAAATGAAACAGAAGTTACAGATCTTACAACAATTACAAACACATCACTGTCGAGTACTTCTTCTTCCTCTTCTGTTATCTTTTTGAATACAAGTTTCAGTGACTCTTCATTGCCATCACCATCCCAATTCAACAATTTGAATAATCAACATCTTTCTAGATCAGGCATTAAATTTCTTGTGCGTATCTCTTCACATATGCTATTTGTAGGAAATTTCTCTATGGAACGCCGTATGTTATTTGATATTTTTCGGTTTTGAAATATGTTTTCATCAACTATTTTTTTCATTTTAAGTTATATTTGGTAGACGTCACATCAAAACCCATCAGGTAGATTGATTTTGTTTCTGCATAATTCATATAAGTGAATATATACAATCTGATATAATGTTAATACAGTCATTTTCTTGTTAACAATTAGATTTATACCAAATCCCTTATTAATGATTAGTAAATGTCTTAGAAGGTAGATTAAAATGTTGACTAAATCAAAATCTTAGACATAGTCTCTCTCTCTCCCCATCTTCATGATGTATCTACGATATAGGTACAAGTCAGCAAAGGTAGCTGTGATGACCTTGCCATTCTGAAACCACCTTTCTTTCATCGAATGAGGAAAAGTTCCTATTTAGTAAAAAAGTATTTCGCTACAGACGTTATGAATTCTGTTACATCGTAATGGTTTCAAGAAGGATATTAATTTTCCAACGATTAGATCAATATCTCAAAATAGTTTTCATTGAGATATCGCTAAGTAACATCATTTGTATGAATGCGAGTATATCCATGCCATGCTAAATGGTTTTTTTCCAAATCCTACCAATGATTGGTTGTCAGTAAAAAGTTGTGGAGATTTTTGAATTTCATTAAAATCACAAACCGATCTAAGTTAGACTACCATTTAAAACTTGGAAACACTGAACGACCGTTTCTTCTTGATATGGAACTCCTCAGCAGTGCACATCCACGACCCCACTGTGGTAATCAAACCCAACACCCTCGGTCTCATGTGCAAATGCTTAACCTCTAGATCATTGAGCCTTTATTCGACAGTATTGTTGTCTAACTTCAACTAATAAATAGTTTTATAGGAATTTATCATCGTTCAAAATATTTCTATCAATAAATTTACTGATGAATTTATAAAAAGGCGATGTATATACATAAGTCATGCATATTTTACACAGTCCAATTTCCACCAATTTGTTTACCAGGTAATAAGTCACTAATCAAGTGACTTGTTTAGGAAGTTTACTTACCATAAACAAAGTAGAGTACAATAAAGTAAAACTCATTGATTTACATGTTATATACAGTCTAGATAGAAAGAAATAATCATATAACATGTTACACACTGTCATTCTTTTGTTTTTTGATGTAAAAAAGAAAGGATTCTTTTTCTATATAATGTAAATAAATACAAATCAACGGTGCACATGGGCTCCAGTATCCTGAAGGAACAAATGGCATATGAACCAATTGTTGATCACCGGCTACCATGGGACTGCATCTCCTTACGCTGCTCCACTGCCTTGTGGGTCAGGCGTTCAGATCGAAGGCTCGGGGTGTGGCCCCCCAATAAAACCACCTGCTTCGGTTTGGGCACTCGGGCAGTATCACAGCCCTCACACAAATCAATTGAGATTCGTGTGGCGCATATGTACTTGGTGCCTCCTTGTACCTATACCTATGTGTTAAAATAATAAATAAATACAAAAGTTATGGTATGTGGACGAGTCAATCAGTATTAAGAATGAGATATTTAATTTTTTCCCTCAATATTCAAATACTACTTATAGCATAGAGTAGAAATACCTTTGTATATATTGTCTGAAATAAGCAAATATTGATAGTGGCTAGCAGTGGAATCCAGTTTGATGCGCGTTTCGTCCTATTCGGGACTCATTAGCTGAATGTACATACATCTCAGAATTGATGTTTACTCTAAGACTCGCTTCAACGCTACTGAATACTGATAGCCACTTGTTTGTGCATTGGGGTAAAGTTTCAATTCACTTGGTATTGTTTATTATTATTATTATCTTTACTTATAATGCTTGTGAATTAAGGCTATATCGAGGCAATACACACAGTATGCACATATATCAATTAGAGTCCTAAACATCAATGAGAAGATTAAAGTAAACAATACCAAGTGAATTTCCTAGTATACACCCTTTTACACTTCTGTACAACACCATAAAAGTCGAGTTAAGATCAATCTTATGACCTGTTTCAAGTATGTGTTTGGCAACAGAGGATGATCAATATTTATCCTCTACTCTGATTGGGTCATTTGATTCTATTTGTCCGTGCAACCATTTAGGTACATGTTCACATACCCTAATTTTGAGATCGCGTTTACTCCTCTTTATTTATATGTGGCCACACACACACACATTTAAATTGGTAAACACAGGGAGATGTGATGAGACCGTTTTCATGTCATTTAGGTTTTCGATGAAGCATAGATCTTGTTCTGTACTGTTCTGTATTGTCTGAAATGTTTCAAATGATATCGAAAAATTATCTTTTGTCATCATACAGTAAAAATTGTTATCTTAAATGTATTAAATACTCAACTCTTCCTCAGTAGGTTGTATATATCGGACAAATCGATATTATTCCTTAATTACATTCATAAATTTTTAATCCTGAAACTAATTCTAGCTTAGTGATACACTACATTTTATGGATGAACTAATCAGTTAGCATCTCTGACATTTTTTTGCTGCGAAATTTGTTCATCCATATGGTTACAAAGCATTTTTACATTATAAGTGATGTTAATTTGTGATGAAAACTTTAACCTTAAACCCCTAATCCTTACTTTAAATCCTTTATTTTAACTAGGAACAATGTAGGGACATAGAATCCTGTTATTTTACTTTGCATGCTCTAAGGTCATGCTTGAAACAATATATAAATCATGGAGCAGTAGCTTAGTGGTTAAGATGTTTGACTTTCAAACACCAAGTCCTAGATTCGAACATCATTCCATCTACTTCGGTTTGGGCAGCCACATTTCAGTATCACGCTTAATATGTGGCTCATATCCAAGTACCTGGAGAATAGGTTGATTTGACTAATTTAATATAAACAGATTTGTCCTACTACAGTTTTGTATATAAAACTTCTGAAAGTTCCGTTTATAATAGTGCTGAATCATACCACCTAACCAAGCAGAATAAAGGTGACTTCAAGGAAATGGGAGATTTATTGATGTAGAGAGACCTTTATCTAGTAATATGAGACTCAGGGTATTGACCATGAGCTGTGAATTTCGGCGAAAAGAAACAGTTATTTACTAAATGGATTACTAACGCAAGCACTTAAATATAAATGCGGTAATGAAATGAAGCTTCATGAATGTAGAAAACATAAGATGGTGTGATCTTTCACTGCAATGTTCGTTGAGATTAAAATTACTACTTAGAGTTGGGATCACAGTACAACTTTGTGTCAAAGGTCAGGATTATGATTGAATTAAGACTAGGGTTAAAATTATGTTTATATTTCGGAATAGGGGTTGACTGAGGTTAGTTTTATAAAATTAAGTCTAGGTCCTAAATTTTAATCGTATACTCTAACAGTTCAGAAGCAATATCAAGCGAAGTTAGTCATTCGTGTTCAAAGAATATACTTTCTGTAAATTCTTTGACTTCTTATTGCAACTCGTTTCTGATTGGCTGGGATGAGTAATTGTCTCAAGGTTATTCGGTAGTATAGTTTAACAACTACAATCCTCTCCCCTTGATTCACGTGTGAATTATTTGGATTGAAGTGTAGTAGTGTATAAGCCATCCACTCTTTCTAGTTCTTGTAGATCCCGTATTTTATTTAGGGGATCTTCCCCACGTTTTTGAATTTGGAATTACTTTTTAGACTATCTATCCCAAATCATAACAGTTACAATCATTCACAATCATGTATTTCAATCGTAAATTTTAGAGAAAGCATTATGTGAATTTTTCTCTGGATTTTGGTGTCTTCAATCTTTATCTACTTCTAATACTACGTCAACTAACCATCATCACCAGGACAACCAAAGTAGTCTATTATCATCGTCTACGTCAATGTCGTCCTCACCACTAACATCATTGCCCAATCAATATAATATCTTATCAAGTAAACATCCTATTTGTGTTCAAGCTACAATGCTGTGTGATAGCCTTCCAGATTGTGATTTGAGAGTACCTATGAATGAGGTTAATTTATCACTAGATGAAGCAAATTGTAATATGATCCCATCAAATTATTCCCTGAAAACATCTAAATCATGTAAGTTACCATTTTGTTTTGTTTTGCCAGTGTAGAGTTATTAATGAAGCATTATGGGCATACATGTTCACCTCATAGGTGAAGTCATTGGTGTTATTTTGATAACCAGTGATACAGTATAATTCTGTTGACTAAATCAGCTAAATAGGTCCGAAAATATAATCTAATACTCATGAGTTATTTGGTTAATTCATAGTTTGATCAGTGTCATATTTGTTACACGTGATGAAAGGGTGTTTATTTGTGAAGAAAGTAGGTGGTCTTGAGTCATGTCACAAGTGTTCCGGCGTTTCCCTACACCATGGTAAAGTACTTTTGTAGGTACCTTAAGACGAGACTGGATTAGGGTTAGTTATGATGAGTTGGGATTGTGATTGCAGTACTCTAGGGATAACGACTCATCTGTCTTTATTCGTTGACTAATCACGGCTTGCTTTCACCTGACACACCTAATATCTGTTATTTGGCATCTTTTTCAACTACGGTAACAATGACGAAGTCACATATCTTCATAATTCTTCTTATTGTGATGAAACCAGGTTACACACAGGGAAATATATGTTAGTACTCATTTTTTGTGAATCATTTTTTCTGGTTAGCGTTTTTTGGCGAGCTCGTTTTCTATGGGATGGGGTCGCTAACCCCATGATCAACCCTCCTCCTTTACCCGGGCTTGGAACCGGCAGTAACTCTAGAAGAGCTAAGATCATGTGTAGTATTCATTTTTTGACAGGGGAAGGTATATAGACGAATTTAAACATTTTAGCCAATCAGAAAAGTGTTGGGCTATGAAATAATTCCTCGTAAGATGGTTATAAAACTACAAACGATTAGAAACTTGGACATCGTTAATAAACATTTATGTGTGAATTATTACATATAGTAAATGAAAATGTGTTGAAATTAAGGGTGAATAAAAATATTTCCGTTTACCACAATATACTACTGTTATACAATAATACAACCTGACACGAGATTATGCTACCTCTATACTGAATACTCGGTCGATAAGCTATACACAGACTGAAATCACATTATATCAGATAATTAATTTGCGACGGAATCTAGTGAACTAGAGTAATAGATCAAACAATAGATTTATTCGACACAAACACTAGTGCTTCATACACAGTGAATCCAGAGTAGCAAACGGTGATAGAAGAGAATTCATATGTTAAATATTTAGTAAGCCGAATGTCAGTCTGTCTCCTTTCGCTGGCCAATCACATCTTACTATTCCATATGAGACATGTCGTAAGATTTTCATTGCCATGTGACACCGGCTTTATGTACATGGATGAATGAATTTCGTGCACATATCCACAGGGGACTATTTTACCTCGGTTTTTTTACGTCCATAAAGTATAGCACCAAAAATCTTGTTAATCCGTTGTGAGTTTCAAGTTTATTTAGTTTCCACTGTTTCTTCCCTTAAAATTTGTCATCATCATCATCATCATCATTCCAAGAATCGCACAAATGCTTTATAGATCTTCAGTCTTATCATGTTATGAAATTCCAGCTTCTAAATAACAAAATATTGATAAACATTCCTCAGTTTGTATATAACTCTCAACAAGTTAACAGATCACCGTTATGGCGTTGCGCTAAACTTTTTATAACTGTCATCTTAAGTCTGATTGGTTCGTCCATATACTTTATTCCTACCACTATTATTATTATTATTATTATTATTATTATTATTATTATTATTTCTATGCGTGTAAATGTATGGTATTTTAAATATTTGTAAAATGGATGTTTATAAAATATTGTTTCTTTTCCATGCTCTGCGCATATGTTTGTGAACCCGTCAGATAAAGATGATCATTGGATATCTAAATTACCATGGATAAGTAAGTATGAAACTTCTGTTGTTGTGTTCCTTCTTTGTTTTATTAAAAAAAAAATGAAACTCAAGATGTTTCATCACTACGTTGGGCTTTTTTTCTGTTCTAGTTATATTGAAACTAGGCTACTCTGTAATTAAGCCTAGTTTCGGTCGCATAATTTTTACTTTGGATAACAATTTAATCTATATTCAATTTCCTCTTGAGATAGTGAAGATGATTTGTAGATCAGGTGAGTGATTTCAGCAGCAACAACCCTCAAGAACTTGCAAGATCAACTGTTTACAAATTTTATTCAAAAGGACGAGAACACACTACAGCACATTTACAGCGCGGAATAATGAGGAAAGATATCTGATAACTATCTTTTAAAATAAGGGGTATCCACACATCTTCATCAGAAAATATCAATCCAACTCATCATCAGAAATAAAATGAAATACAGAAACCAACAAACGCATCATCCCACTTACTATATATAGAAAGCATATCAAAAATTAAAACGACATTGTTGAAGTTGTTTGGAGTAGGTGTGCAGTGAACGTACATTTAAATGGGGAAGACTAGTTCACTATTTAATGCTAAATTAGTGTCTTAGTAAAATATGAAAACTATACAGTAAATACTTATTTTCTACATATTTCATCAGTTGTCTCTTACAAACTTCATCGTTCCTTCATTCATGTTGTTATTACAATTAAACTCTGTTTATCTTCCTGTTCTCCTCAATTCAATCTTATCAATATTCTACTGCCAGTTCAGATTGGTGTTGTATATTACTTGTATCTGTCAATATGAGTAGCATTACACCGGGAAAAACATATCAATCAATATTATGAAATTCTAAGGATGAAATGAAAAAAAAAGAGAAAAACCAAACATCAACTACAAAATAGACCCCTTTTTCATCTTCGCTTGCATGAGCATCAATTAGCGGTCAAACGCCGTGACATATCTTTCTTTATATTAATACATGTGCACAATTGTGGACACACATTCCATTGAAAAAAATGTCGAAATCTTGAATAGTAGGAATACCAAAATCGGAGAATTTTTAGAATCTTGGAAATCAAGTCAATCAACAAACACATCAAAGTCGATACAATCTATCAACCAATCAGAAAGATCATGAACAAATGTAGGACAAACAATTACCGATTAAATGTCAGCACTAACTAATCAAGATCGAGGTCGACAAGATAAAATGTTAGTCACATGTGGAGAAATACGAATACCTCACTTATACCATAAGTTTATTTGGCCTATGATGTTGTAATTCAGTAAAACAATGTAAGCTTCATCATTAAACTATTCAGATCAGCAAACGAAATGCCATCAAAATTAGTTCTTTTTTTTAAGAAAAATGAAATTAAACATTTTCAGATGTAGAAAAAAAAACTCATTGATTGTTACATCTTTTTGTAAATCGATTATGACAGCTTGTTGCATTACCATGATAATAAATATTAACTAAAATCGTGTCTAGTTGAAATGTGTCAATAGTTCTGCTTGTAAAACTTGCTAGATGGATATATCAATAAATGGCAGCCGTTATGGTGTTTATTTATTTGATTGGGACTGGAATCCAGGATTTGGTAACAGAATATATGAAAAAAACAAGTGAAAATAACAGAAAAACAAACCGAAGTATTAGTGATAATAATAATAGTCTAGGAGGATTTGTGGAGACTGTAGAGTTTTCATGGTTTAAATCACAAACTGATTTTAGCTAGATCACCATGGGAAACCTGAAAACACTGAACCATCGTTTTGTTATATCATGGGACTCCTCAGTTCATGATTTAAAACTACGAAATTCCTACTTTCTCCCCCCCCTATTACACTAACAATAGTTATGTGCTCATAAGTGACTAGGTTCATGATGCAACCTCTGGAGTTCTAGTACAATGCAATCGGTGTCGAGTGTGAGACAGTTATCGATCTCAGCCAGTGGATGAGGGTTGCGCAACTTCGTAAATTGATTGAGGTTAGACTTGTACACCATTACACGCTTATGTTATTAGACATAGGGCAAACATTTCAGCTTACATCCCTATTGCATATACTTACAGACAAAGCTACAAAAACTGAGACTCATGGGATTGACATACACATCGGGCAGCCCACAAGATTTAGTGAGCCTCGAAGTTGGAACTCAAGTAATCTAGATTACAGCAGAATATTAAATCAGTCCAATCTCCGTCGACTGCCCAAATTAGTTAGCAAGGTTGTCCCTAGTACCTAGCAGCGACATGAGGAGGCTTTCGGTTGGATTTTGTTGCTTTAAATAGACATAAAATGATATAAGGCGAACTTTTGTATTTGTACACTATGAAAGTATAATGATTTGAAATATTCTGTATTGTTTCTATGTAGGATAGTAACAGTTATTGACAGGATATTGTATGGTTTAAAGTTTTTATAATCATCTTAAAAAGTATTTATTAGTTTACTGCTATTACAATCAAGTCTCTTACTATTTTGTCTCTTGATTTATTATATAATTTTTCTAAGGAGACCATTCATAATATGTTAGATAATTTAGATTAAAATGTTTCTTTGGAACTAGAATCTCCAATGTTATTTATAAGAAGTGATTATTCTTCTCATATTAGGATAAACTTAAATCCTATATGACACTAGACACTAATTTTATCTTCACAGTATGACTTCATACACACATACACACAAGTAATGTTTACATGATGAGCAGTGAATTTAATGTCCAATTATAATTCACTGATGATCTACCAAGGGGGTCGTGGCAAGTTTGTTGTTCTACTGAAGCATTAAGTTAGATGTTCAGGTTGCAAATATTATGGATAGTGTCTGATTTTGTCATAATTAATATGAAATTAACAAATGAAAATGTATATAGTTACAATTGAAAGTATAAAGCTATGGATCATTGATTAAAGATGTTCAATTTTTAACCACTAAGTCATTTATCTGAACTTCATCTATTTTAATAACCAAGTGGGGTATCATCAGGTCTAACACTTGAATTGGACATAGAGAGTCCACCTAATGAAGGTAGAAAACACTGATTCTAAACCAATGGTGCATATAGGCTCCAGGATCCTGAGTGAACCAATGTATATGAACCAATCGTTGGTCACCGACTACCATGGGACTGCATCTCCTGATGTTGCTCCACTGTCTTGCGGATCAGACCTTTAGGTTAAAGGTCCCGTGTGTGTGGTCCCCTAGGAAAACCACTTGTTTCGGTTTGGACATCCGGGAAGTATACTAGCCCTCACACAAATCGAATGATTGATGTGGTGCATATCTATTTGGTTCCTCCTTGTACCAATGTTTATGTGTTTAAATAAATAGATATAAATAAACACTTGGAGTGTATATAAAAACTAAGTACTTGAATATGTACCTGATTAGTGTGTTGGTATGAATCACAGTTATAAATAAGAATTCTTTATATTGCTTTTTTTAATCGAATGAACTTAATTCTGGTTATTTTTTTTTATCTTTTATTTCATTCAAGAATATGTTTTTCTTTTTACTCTTCTAATTAAACTAGTTCTTGCACCGGTCCCTGTTATATTAATCTGTGCTCTAATACGTATATGTTCACAGAAACGTCAATTAGACATGATTGAAGATAATAATATTAATATAAATAATCATAATGAATGGTCAACAGTAATCTCCAGTTCCACAGTAACAACAACAACAACAACTACTACTAATACAAATCATTGTGATAAATGTTTACATATGCAATACAAAAAATTACCTACTAATTATTTTATAATTAAACGTAAATTACGCAATTATCAAGGAAGTATACCGGGAATATTGAATCGAATCAATAAATTATCTAGTGTTACTGAAGTTGATGATGAAATTGATTCCAATATAGATCAACAAGTGAATATATTGAAAATGAAACCATTAAATAATAATAATAATAATAATGATCATAAGTTTAAAACAAAATCGGCAAATAATTCAAATCGTTGTGATAATTTATTACAACATTGTTATTCCTTACCTGAGTTTACTATAAAGCATCATGATAACGATGATAATGATGATGATAATGTTAGATTCAACAGTGATTTAATGTGTTATAGTGTTAACAATGTGATTATTTCCAATCGAAATTTTCATGCAATCAGTACTTGTTCAAGTCGTGAAGCAAGTTTCGATGATAATGGGGATGATGATGATGATGACAGGCTTAATATCAATCAAAATCTTATCACACATTATCAATCGATAGAAGCATTTAATAAAAGTAAAAGTTGTAATAGTTTACATGAAACAAAAACACAAAATGAAAGAATGAATTATTTATCAATTTCTCCTTGTTCTTCCACTTCATCATCAATAGATTATAATAATAATGATGATAATAAAAGGAATCATGTAGTAGGTTTCTTTTTTATATACTTTCTATTTATTGTATTTTATATTTTAAGGGAGTTTTACAAAATTAATACATTGAAAATAGTTGAATGGTGACTAACTGTAAAATCTAGATCACAGGTTTTATCCTGTTTGAAACTAATCAGTGGAAAGTACCTTTATCTTCAGTACCTTTACACTGAAAATATTATATTCGTTTTTTTCTTTACAACAGAAACAGTATATGATAGAATGGTTCTGTATTATTGCTCAGATTTCTCTGCTATGTTAGTTATTATCCTTTGATCTTGTTTAACTAATATTAACTTAATTAGATACCTAGTATCTATTTGTTTAAACACATGAGTATTGTCAGAAGGGGTTTTGTGGAGATTGTAGTAATTTCAATAGTTGAAATCATGAGTTAATTGAAGCTAAACCACAATAGAAAACCTGGGAGCATTAGATGGCCGTTTTGTCCTCGTATGAGACTCCTCAGCAGTGCGCATCCACGGTCCTACCCCCCGTAAGACTCGAACCCAGGACCTATCAGTCTCATGCGTGAGCACTTAACCATTAGACCACTGAGCTGGTCGGCATCCAACGATGTTAATGTCTGACTTCAACTAATCCACGAAATTACCCCACATAAACATTGGTTCATGGTTGCACCAAATACATATACACCACAGAGTAGCAATGAGTTTGTGAGGATATAGAGAGTGTAAAGTGAGTACAATACAAGAAGAGCAACAATGAACAGAAATTATTATATGAGAGTGAAATAATAATAATAATAATAATAATAATAATAATCGTCAGAGTAACAGTTGAGTTGGGGAAATACAATCAGAAAGGATTCTTTCTATGAAAGAAGTTACTCTCACTTTGATGTAGAAAGTGATAGCAAGATCACCACTGGCTTCTTTTAATCTTGATTGGATATAGTTAGGATAGTTGAACAATATCATAATAATAATTATTATTGTTATGTTCTTTTTTCTTTCTATATCCTATTTTTTTTTCTAACAAGAAGATTTTATCTGATTCCCCCAGTGACAATAATCAATTCATACAAAATTCTCCTAAATCAATAATATTCAATCAATATTCTAATGATTATTTATTATCCAATATAAAATTTAATAATAGCGCTCAATATAATATGAATGATAATAATCAATATCATAAGGATATAATAAAATATTATTATTATCATCCATCAAGAAATATTTCATTATCTTCTACGACGACAACAACAACAACAACAACAACGACAAGAAGATCTTCATCGATATTATGTAATTATCAAGAGAAATTTAATTATATACCATTAAATGCTTCTTCTTCTTCTTCTTGTTGTTGTTGTAATGATGATAATGAGATATGTTATTGTTCATCTATGAATACATTGGAAATACCTAGAAATATTTCTATATTATCAAAATGTATAAACTATATTCATCATCAATTAATGAATTCTACATTTAAATTTAATGGTAATTATATAAAAAATCATTATGTATATAATAGTAAAACAAAAATTATGAATGATGGAATATAAGTAATATAAGTAGTATATATATATCATAATAGAAGTGAGTTACTAATTTAAATGATATTGTAAATATTATTAAAATGAATTGATTATTGGAGATTTAAGGGAAAGTATGAAATACTTGAGTGGGGCAATTTATTTTGTTGTCATTTAAGATTGGATGATGTTTGTCGAAAAGGATTTCCATTTTAATGGTTCGAGTTCTGACTCCAATTTGATTGTATAAATGTTTGTTATCGCCTATTCTGGTAATATAACTATCGACTTAAATTGTGTTACTCAATAATGGAATGAAATAAGTTAAATAACGAGAATGAACTTTTGAAATAGATATATTTTGTAATATAAAGCGAATGGAATAGAAAGAAGTGAAATGACACGCAGTGGAGATGGCGTGTGAGCCAACTCCATTTAGTCAAGCGTTAATCAATATTTATAGTCACACAATCGTGCACATGGGCTCCAGTATCCGGAAGGAATAAATGGCGTATGAACCAATCGTTGGTCACCGGCTACCATGGGACTGCATCTCCTCACGATGCTCCATTGCCTCGTGCATCAGACCTTTAGGTCGAAGACTCCAGGTATGGCCCCCTAGGAAAACCACCTGCTTCGGTCTGGGCACTCGAATAGTATCACAGCCCACACATAAATAAAATTTTGTGTGTCTCATATATATTTGGTGCCCTCTTGTACCAATATTTATGTGTTCAAATAAATAAAAAGGCTACAGAAATGTGATGAATAGAATAAGTAATGTACACACATATATGCGCTCATATAAAAACAGTCAAGATTGATAAACGAATAATTAACAAGGTCAAAATATGACTCAAGTAGAATGAACAGATTGGCATGTCCGAAAGCCAGAATAAGATATATGGGTTTAACATGTCAACCGACACTACAATACACTGGACAGCTCAGAACTAATTAAATGATTTGGACTTTGCAGATGACCTAGTTCTTCTATCCTATACGCATGGAAAAATGCAGATAAAGACAACTAGTGTAGCAGCAGTCTCTGCATCACTAGGCCTCAATATACACAGAGAAAAAATAAAGATTCTCAAGTATAACACGGAGAACACCAAGCCAATCACACATGATGGCGAAACTCTGTAAGATGTAGAATCATTCATGTACCTGGGAACTATCATCGATGAACAAGGAGGATCGGATGCATTCCTACAGTAAAAATATTTGGAACTCAAAAAAACTTTCAACCAATATCAAAGTTATAATCTTCAATATGAACGTCAAGACAATTAGTTCTACTGTACGGAGCTGAAACGTGAAGAACCACTACAACCATCATCAAGATGGTACAGGTATCTATAATTAGCTGTATACGCAAGATACTCAACAACAATTGGCCGGATACCATCAGCAACAGCCCCTTTCTTGGAAAGAATAAACCAGCTTCCAGCTGAAGAGGAAATTAGGAAAAGACGATGGAAATGGATAGGATATATATTACGCAAATCATCAAACTGTATCACGAGGCAAGCCCTAACCTGGAATATTGAAGGGAAGCGGAAAAGAGAAAGGCCAAAGAACACATTACGTCGGGAAATAGAAACAGATATGAAAAGGATGAATAGCAACTGGAAAGAGCTGGAAAGAATTGCCCAGGACAGGGTTGGATGGAGAATGCTGGTGGGTGGTCTATGCTCCTCCTCTAAGAGTAACAGGCTTAAGTAAGTAAATCATGCTTGTCTAGTTTTCTTAGTGCTACTAATCAAATTCTATCGTTTAAGTTGTGTTGTGGTTGCTAGTTGAGATTTAGTTGGTTCAAAGTAATCGATAACGAACATTGAATCGTTAGAAATTTCGTGCTATTTAGTACTTGTCAACAAGTTCTTCCATTAATGGTGTAGGAACTGATATTTCCTGGTAGATTCGGTCATGTATCACCCAGATTCACAGTAAATGTATACGTGCATTTTGTCATGCTACTGCAATTTTTTTCATAAACAATGGGACGCAGTTGAACGAGTTTAAACTTTTTTGTGTTATATGTAAAGCCCATCTTAATGGAATCCGGTAAACATCTATGATTTATAGAGAACACCTGAGATAGGGATGAATTTCTATCGACTGTTATGGCTCCAACATTATTAAATATGCTTGTCCACCTACTATCTCGGCGTGCGATGTTGGCTAGTATAAGAGCAGGTTGGAAGAAATCCGAGAGCGGATAAATACAAGACACGGCATCAGTCCACAAAGACACTGACCGTTAGATTAAGCCATATAAGTAAGTGCAGATTACGTGGTTGAAGTTCACGGGACTATCGTAACCAATAGTTAGAGACTGAATAACATGACGCAAAGTTTTTCACAGTGATTCATGTGTATATAATATTTGTCTTCCTTTAGATCCTAAATTTGTAAATATTCCTCATAATTTTGTTTTACTTTCACTGATTTATATTTTGTCGAATTGTCTTTGATAACTAGTGTTTCCTGTCATTATTAATACTGTTATTACCTTTACTACTGTGTGATTGGTTTTGACAATTTCGTCTCTCTATGCTTTGGCAACTTGAACTGATGTCCACATGTTTCAGGTTCCACCCTGCGTTTGTCTGACTTATGACGAGCTATATAACAAATGTACTGATCGATCATAAAAAAAAGTTGTTAACAGTGTTACGAACATTTTAGGGGAGAATTTATTATTCTAACTCATAAACATTGGTACAAGGAGGCACCAAATGGATATGCACCACATAAATCATTTGATCTGTGTAAGGGTTGGGATACTGTCTGGGTGCCCAAACTGAAGCAAACGGTTTTCTTGGGGGGCCACACCTGGAGCCTTTAACCTAAAGGTCTGATCCACAAGACACCGAAGCAACGTTAGGAGATGCAGTCCCATGTTAACCGGTGACTAACAATAGGTTCATACACCATTTGTTTTCTTCGGGTCATGGAGCCCATGTGCACCATTGATTTAGAACTAGGGTTTACCCCTCCCCTAGTTGGATCCTTTATATCCACCAACTTGGTTAAAGCGTCAGTTATTCGCTTTTTGTCCTCTCAATTTCCTGAACAACACCTGTGGTTCTAGAAGGCAGTGAGTAGCACTTCCGTAATAGTGTTTGTATACGCGTGCCCATGTGAGAACATTTTGAGAGGGGTAGCTGACTCTCCCCACTCTCGGCATTTGGGGGATTAAGATTGTAAGGATAAGCTGCAAGTGAACATGCACCACTGATAACGATTCTGAGTCATCTCACCTGATATCCCTTAACCACTTTTTATGATGATAACGCAGACCGCAACCATTTAGTCTACACCTATTAACATGTTTCAATCCAATTGTCAATAGCTTTCATGGAATAGTGCTATTTCTTTTGGTCAGTTCTACCTTTCTTCTAACCTACTTTTACACCTGACAGCGTCAACTTCAAGGTATGCGGTGGTTGGGCATGATGGTATTTCATCATATATTGTAAATTTTTGGAGAAATAGGTATATCTGAAAAATGATAACCTAAGGCGATTCTGTTGTTACGACAGTAGGAATGTTTAATCTGAATGCTAACATTATCGGAAAAAAGTAATATTCGTATGTGACTTAGATGTCAGGTGAAAACAAGTCGTGATTAATTACAAGGCAAAAATAGACAGCCAACTCCATATTTTGTCATATGAATTACTATATTGTAGCTCTTGGATACCGGTTCAATGTTCTTTGGGTTAAATGTTCGTGTGCAAGACTAACGATCCTTAGTGCACTTCCCAGCTATGAGATCATGAATGCACACTACTGAAGAGTCTCAACGCTCTCAGGTTTTTAATAATTATCTAACTTAAATCGATTTGTGATTTCAATAAACAGATACTATTCTAGTTATTATTATCATTATTATTAATCCAGTTTATTTACACTTTTATTCACAGATGATTGATTTCCTATGGATAATATTCAACTTCTTCGAAACCTAACTTATCTGCATTTATACTTATTTCCCTGTTGCTTTGAGAATCACAATTTTTTTTTTCTAAAAAAAAAAGAAAAAAACAACGATGTTTTCTCGTTAACAACTACAGATGGGAATAGTTATCTCATTGTTTTACCATTTTTTTTTCGATGATACTCTTTATTTATACTTTATAGAACTGATTATTTAACGAATTTTATTTTTGTTTTTTCTTCCAAGAACACCCCCCTCTCTCTCTCTCCAATGTTTATTTCAAACATTTTTGAAGTTTGCTTTATATTAGATCTATGATCAAACAAATATGGAATTGCATTTAGTTATATTCTTATAATCTACACAATTCTCAATGCATTTTTAAGTTTCTATTGTTGTTGTTGTTGTTGCTGTTTTTGTTTTTCTGTATTTTTGTTTACATTTTTATTCTGAATCATTCATATTGACTGATTTTCTACTTTTATACACACACAACATGTTTCTTTTCTTCAGTTTTGTTATTGTATTGTATATGATTGATTTCATTTATATTGTTATGTGTATATTCTCTTGTTACTAGTTAATGTTTTTTTTTGTTGCTTAGAGAGATATTCCACGCACAAAAAAAAAAAAAACATTCAGTATTATTTTGTCTATGAGGTTAGTTTTAGAAACAAAACAAAACAAAATGTGTGTATCGTATGTTTTATTTACTCCCCTATAAACATAAATTCTAATCGATTTTTTTTCTTGTTGTTGTTGTTGTTGTTGAAGCAATGACGAAGTAATCAGAATGATTACAATATAACTATAGTGATTTATTGTTGAGACTGTATTTAGTTGAATGCTTGTTAATGTTAGATTTTCATGGGAAAGATGTACATACTAATGTATCACTTAGTCCTAGATAGTAGGTGAACATTCAAAAGGTCATTGTGTAATGTCACTCAAAGGTTGCACATAAATTACAGTCTCATCGATGGTGATTCTTGATAAGAGAATATTTTTATTCATAGAACGACGACGTCAGTATGTATATAATATAAATATACATGGGATTCACAACGATCGAAATGATGAAGGTCAGTCTTTCATGTTTACCTAACATTGTTAACAACTTATAGATTAGAGATAGATTTTTCGGTAAGACTATAAATTATGGACAACCTTTCAGCGACGCTAAAGTGATATTGAGAGTGTTCACTTAATAACTAGGATTAAATGAGGATTATAAACCAATGCGAGGATTTAGAATTATGATTTACAGTTGATGGTTAAGGTTATGAATTCGATTTAGAGTTTTCATCACAAACTGACATCATCTATAGTGCCAAAGCTCTATTTAGCCAAAATGGATAGGTGAATTTCACGACAAAATCCGAAACCTGTTAACTTAAATCTGATTGGTTCGTCCATAAATTATAATATCGCCGATTTTTCATTTGTGTTCACGTAGTTGAGCAGCAATTTGTTGATCATTAGAATGATGTATTGCTTATTATTAAGGTAGCTCTCGGTTTCCTCGCTTGACTGGATAGGATATACATTGTTTGTCAGTTTAGGTTATCGTACACACTGTACGATACATATATACAATTCTAGGACGCAAGTACTATCGACAGAATTCTAAATTGTGAAACGAAGTGTCGCCAGACATTTATTGAATGTGTTGTATCTTTAAGCTCGACTAATTATCATGTGATTTATTCGCCAATCGAAATACGACTTATTCAATCTTAGTACTGTGCTAAACCAATGACGTTCGACTGGTATGAGCAGCCTAACGTCCCTATTTGTCCTTTGTGTTCCTAGCCCTTCCAGTTGAGTCCAGAACACCAATAATAACTTCCACTGTGTGAATCATTTATTTCAGACAGTGAATTGTCGACCGGACCAACGACTCATGGAACAAGTATGAACAGTCTGGAGTACTTATCTGTCCTGCTTACCGCCTAACCCTGCCTGCTAAGTCCAGAACACTAATCTCAACCTCCGCCATATCAATCATATATTTCAAACATACTTGGTTTATATACTAGCCAAATAGATCACATCATACCATAAAATAGGAAATAACATTGATACAAGATCAAGCCAAAAAGTGGCTGCGAACGTGAGAGACGGTAATTAATAAACTGAACATAACTTAGGAATAGGAAATTGTATCATAATAGTCTTTAGGTGAAAATAAAGCTTACAATAAGAATATAGATATACATATTCTAGTTACTGAATAGTTATACAATAGGAATATATATGTATAATATTAGTCCATAAATAGTTCTCAAAAGTTACCCGTAATTTTATCTTCACTAGGATATAACAGAATGCATTTAAGAAATCACTACAGATTTCTAGCAAGAAGAACACGTGAGATTTCCGGAAGTTCTATAACACTTTTTACGATGGAACACCAGATTTTATGGTGACATCGGCATGGCAAACAAGCGAAATCCAAAAAGTAACAAGTTGTTACATTGTTTAGAGTAATCCTTCAACTCAATCATCTTCCCTGTCTAGTCATATTTCCGGAATTTGTTTTATATAGTTCCCAGATCATTGTTTCATTATATGGACCCTTTAACTACTTTGAACAAAGACGAAAAAATCTCTAATTAAAAGTAGAAAAGAGGTCAAACATGTTGATTGTTATTAGCATCAATGCATTTTTAATGAAAATTGTCTGCTTTAAATTTCAACCGATTATAAACCATAGAAAAACCCGCAGTCAGTCAATCATCATTAACGAAGAATCTGACACAGATGTCCGTTGACCAATGTTGTCAAACCACAATTAACACGACGAGACGAAATTAGCAGTGTATAAAGCATAAACATCGAAATAATATAGTATCAAGGACAATGTAAACGACTGAGCATTCGGAATAGCGAACGAAGTGACAATGGGTAAAGGAATAATTGGATTCAAGATTGAGAAGGTAAAGGGTGAATACATTCACGCTACTGCGAATGATTCTGAGCCATTTTTTACTCAAAGCCTCTAACTACTGATTGGAGTTATCGCTTGGACCCCTGATATATCCTAACGAAGAATAAATGAAAGGTAACTGCCAGGAATTATTTATGGACTATTATTACCTATATTCCTATTGGATAATTATTAAGTAACTAGATTTATTGTATATTCATATGATTACAAGCTTTCATTTGACCTAACGACTACTGTTATATGATTTATTATGTTACAATCTCTCACAATCACAGCCACTTTTGGTTTGACTGTGTATAAGTGTTATTATTTTATCTTATGGTATGTGGTCTGGTTTCCTTGTATATAAACCACGTATGTCTGAAATATGCCCCCAAATGCCCTGGTACGGCCGAGAGTGGGGAGAGTCCGCTCTCTCTCTCGAAATGCTCTCACATGGCCATGCGTATATAGCCTCTGCCAGGGAAGTCCTACTCACTGCCTTCTCGCACTACGGGTGTTGTTTACAAAAATGAGAGGACGAAAAGCGAATGTCCGGCGCTTTAACCGGACCCCAAACCAATGGTGCACATGGGCTCCAGTATCCTGAAGGAACAAATGACGTATGAACCAATCGTTGGTCACCGGCTACCATGGGACTGCATCTCCTCACGATGCTCCACTGCCTTGTGGATCAGATCTTCAGGTCGAAGGCTCGGAGTGTGGCCTCCAAAGAAAACCACCTGCTTCGGTTTGGGCACCCGTGCAGTATCACAGCCCTCACACATATCAAATGTGATCTGTGTGGCGCATATGTATTTGGTGCCTCCCTGTACCTATACTTATGTGTTAAAATAAATAAATGTCTGAAATATACGATTGATGCAGTGGAAGCTGATATTTGCTTTCTGGACTTGACGGGCAGGGCTAGACAAGAATAATCAAATAAGGACTCTACACTGCTCCTTCAGATCAACGTTATTGGTTTGACACAATGTTCTAATTAGCGATTTAGTCATGTGATAATTAGCAAAGAAGAAGCCATAACAGTCCCAACTATTTAGTCTGTATCTACCTAAAAAACCCAGATCAACAGTCAATGACTTTATAGTCTGATATCATGTTTCAGTTTAAAAGTACTAGAAAAACTCATTGGTTACACAGAGCCAACATATACACCTATTTCTCCATATTATTTTAGCGCTCAGTATGATCATTAAAGCATAAACACTCTAAGGTTCTTGTTAGCGTTACTCAGGTTCAATTAAATGATAAGTAAATATTGAAAGTACAAATTGACTAGATCGAAATATGATGAATATTTTTTTAACGATTGCTTGCAATAACCCGATGATATGATCTCAACTATTGTTTATGCATGTCAGTTATTCAAAAGATAATGTTACCATGGAATATGGTTTATCAGTTTGTGGCTCACAACTGGACAACCTGATAAACTAAACAGTATTCAATTATTAATCAGAAATGTCAACTGTTTCAACCCTGAATTCGTCTTCTTCTTCTTCACTGTTATTATTATTGCTAATAAGTAATAAAACATTCAGTTTCATTAAAAGAGAATTACCATTTACAGTATTGTTATTCTGTTTTATTGTTTATTTGTTTGTTGCATTTCACAATAATGAAATATCTAAATGCATAAGAATAAATTAACATAGAAAAAAAAATAAGAAGAAAAAACAAAAAAAAACGGTTGTTACATTTTGCTGTTGTCAAGACTGAAGTTAATCAATAGATGATCTACCTCCCCTCCCTCCCTCTCTCTCAAACGCATACACACACACAATGAATGAAAGAAAAATGAAAATTGCACTATGGAAAATTAGATAATAATAATAATAATAATAATGAGTAAAGAAATATTGATATTATGATAAAGAATGAAATAATCCATTGTCCATGAGATGATGATGATGTATGAGACAATAATGGAAAGAAACAAAATAGACCATTTGCAAAGAGAAAGAGACACAACAAAATAAAAGTCAAGATGAATTTTACAATGGAATTTTTGTACATGATTAAAACGTTTTATTTTATGATGAATTCAATAATGAGAATAATGTCTCAACATTAATAAGTACTACTACTACTACTACTAGTAATACTACTAACTAATTGTGCGTTATTACTAAATATGAAAAAATAGTAGTACATTGTTTGGTTGTCATGTTGAAAATAATACAAATTATTGTCCGATGGAAATATACACATCTATACGAATTAAGATACATACATACATACACACACACGTACACACAACAGAAGAAATGAAAATAGACAACTTCTCGTTAATTGACCAATTATTACATAGTGAACAAATGGACAACAACAACAACCAAAAAAAAGATAAGAAAAATTATCACTATCATTATTGTAATTATTCAAACAAACAGATCTGGTTTATTGTTGTTTTTGTGATGACGGAAATTGAAACGAGATAAGTCAAGGAGAAAGAAAAAAACAGACAGACAAATTGTTGATAAGGTACAAAAAAAAAAGATTATGTAATGAGAGGAATAGATAATAGCAGTATGTTGTATACAGTTGAAATGATGAAAGGGAGGGTAGATTATGTAACAAAATACATCAATTATTTATTACAATGTAAAACTGAGGTGGATCTACATACATAAGAGAATAAATATTAGTAAATGATATTCTATTTGAGAAAATTACATTATAATGTGACTGTTGTTTGAAATGGATAACATAATCCAGTATATATCGCCAGATATACATTCTTTCATTCATTCATACATGCACAATATATAAATAAGATGACAGTAATTCAGTAGTATCCTGGAGAAAATGGAATAAAATGAAAAGCTTTAGGACAAACCAGCAAATGTATATATAGTTATATGCACAATCAATGGTAATTATATTAAAAAGATTAAAAATTTGAATTTGTGTGTGGGATGGTTTACTCTCCAAGTACCCAAACCAAAGCAGTTTTTGCAAGGGAGGAAACTCCAGGCCTTTGATCTAGGAGTTCAATCTACAAAGCAGTAGAGAAATGTCAGGAGAGACAGTTCCATAGTAGTCAGTGAACAACAATAGGTTCATACCCCATTGTTCCTTCAGGATCCTAGAGCCCATGTGAACTATTGGTTTGGAATTAGGGTTTTTTTAACTCTTCTCTTGGCGGACCATCTGTACCCACCAACCCCGTTAAAGCTTAGGATATTCGCTTTTCGTCTTGGCAGTTTTACAAACAACACCCTCGCTGAGAGAAGGGAGTGACTAGGACTTCCTGCCAGTGGCTATATACGTATGGCCATATGAGAACATTTGTAGAGCAAGAGCACGCTTTCCCTACTCTCCGTCGTACCAGGGTACTTGAAATTTGGGTCGAATTCTGATACCCATTGAATTATGTTGACATTAAGCAAATGTTAGTAATAAGAAAACATAAGTTAGACGTTGAAAGCATACGATATGACACTATGCAATATCATCAGGATTCAAAAAATGAAATTTGAATGGATGAGCACTACAGACTACTACTACTAATATAGCCCTGAGCCATGTTGCGAATAATAATAATTAAGGATAATGGGAACACGTATTTGTAATCTTCTTATAAACATTACTCCCACGTCTATTTGTTTCATTCTTTGATACTTCTAATGCCTATTTTGACATATTTTCATTTCCTGGTGTCACTGAGCATGGGTAAAGTGAATTTACAGATAATGCAGTGCTGTCGTTGCAAATATACATCCCCACCAAGAGGAGCTGACAAAATTGAGGGCAACCCAATGCATCTCACAATGGATCTACATTATGGAGTGAAGGTATTGAGAACAAGAGCTTATTTGTATATAATTTCCCCTTTGTCTACAACTTTTTGCTTGTGAACATTTACTTACTTATATACGCCTGTTACCCTCAGTGGAGCATAGGCCGCCGACTAGCATTCTCCAGCCCAATTTGTCCTCGGTCTTCCTTTCTAGTTCTATCCAATTGTTCTTCATTCTTCTCATATTTGTCCCCATTTGTCAACGTTATGTTTTCTTTGTTCTTCCTCTTCTCCTTTGGTCTTGAGGATTCCAAGTAGGGGCTTGCCTTGTGACACACTTGGGTAGTTTCTTCAATGTGCGTTCTATCCACTTCCAGCATTTCTTCCTCCGCTGGAATCTGGTTTGTTCTCTGCCAAAGCAGGTTCTTGCTGATTATGTTTGGCCAATTAATCCAAAGTATTTTGTGTAGACAACTGTTAATAAACACTTGTATCTTTTGCATGATGGCTCTCATTGTTCTCCAAGTTTTCGTCCCCATACAGTAAAACTGTCTTGACATTTGTATTGAAAATTCTGATTTTGATGTTCGGTTGACAGTTGTTTTGAGTTTCAAGTGTTCTTCAGTTGTAAATATGCTGCTCTTGCTTTGCCAATCCGTGCCTTCACATCTGCATCAGACCCACCGTGTTCATCAATGATGCTGTCCATAAATGTAAACGTTTTTACATTTTCCAAAGTTTCCCCGTCAAATATGATTTGTGTTAGGGTATTCATAAAATACCCAAGAAATTATCTAATGCTATTCCTGAATGAGAAATGGTGTCATTTCCCCATTGGTCAATATTCTTCCAACGTGTCATTTTCCCGTTGGTCAATATTTATTTTTGTCATTTCCTGGAGGTCAAATCTTGTACAAATGTTACTTTCTATTTTATGGTACGATGTAGTCTGTTTATTTGGTATATAAACACAGTATGTTTGAAATATAACTCCGCCTGGAGTCCCTTTCCGGGGGCTACTGCCGGTCCCAAGCCCGGATAAAGGAAGAGGGTTGGGCATGGGGTTAGCGACCCCATCCCGTAGAAAACTAACTCGCTAAAAAAACGCTAACCAGAAAAAATTATTCAAACCATTTAAACTCTGCCCTGGGAGTCAGAAGGTCTTCGTTTAGAAGAATTATGACGCCTCATGATGGAAGCCGAGTTTCTTCGGAAGTCACGAGGCCGATGCCCCTTCTGACAACCAGAGCAACCATTTATTTAGGTACATGGAATGCTCGCACAATGTGGGAGACTGGGAGAGTCTTCCAAATTGCTGCAGAAATGAGGAGATACAATTTAGAGGTGCTTGGGATCAGTGAAACACATTGGACGCAAGTTGGACAACAACGACTAGCTTCAGGGGAGCTGCTGTTATACTCCGGACATGAACAAGAAAATGCTCCACATACACAAGGAGTTGCATTGATGCTGTCCAAACAAGCACAAAATGCACTTATAGGATGGGAATCTCATGGACCAAGGATCATCAAAGCCTCCTTCAAAACCAAGAAAACGGGGATTACAATGAACGTCATCCAATGCTATGCGCCTACCAACGAATACAACGAAGATGCTAAAGATCAATTCTACGATAGGCTGCAGTCAATCGTCGAGAAGTGCCCAACAAAAGACCTGACTATTCTAATGGGAGACCTAAATGCCAAGGTTGGAACTGACAACACCGGATATGAAGAGATCATGGGACGACACGGACTGGGAGAAAGGAACGAAAATGGTGAGAGATTTGCAAATCTATGTGCCTTCAATAAACTGGTCATAGGCGGCACTATATTCCCACATAAACGCATACACAAAACCACATGGACTTCACCGGATCACACCACACAGAACCAAATCGACCATATCTGCATCAACAAAAAGTTCAGGAGGACGATGGAGGACGTGAGAACAAAGAGAGAAGCTGATATAGCATCAGATCATCACTTGCTGATCGCCAAGATGAAATTGAAACTCAAGAGGCACTGGACAATGGGGAGGACAATATCACAAAAATTTAATACGGCTCTTCTTCTGATATAGCATCAGATCATTACTTGCTGGTCGCCAAGATGAAATTGAAACTCAAGAGGCACTGGACAATGGGGAGGACAATATCACAAAAATTTAATACGGCTCTTCTTCGGGATAATGACAAACTCAATAAATTCAAGATAACCCTCAGCAATAAGTTCCAAGCCTTTCATGATCTACTCAATGGAGAAGGAACTACTATGGAGAGCAACTGGAAAGAGATAAAAGAAGCAATCACTTCAACATGTCATGAGGTTCTGGGCCAAAAGAAGCACCATCACAAGGATTGGATCACGGTTGATACACTGGATAAGATTCAACAAAGGAGAAACAAGAAGACAGCAATCAATACCAGCCGAACAAGAGCAGAAAAAGTCAAGGCACAAGCTGAATACACAGAAGTAAACAAGCAAGTGAAGAGGAGCATCAGAACTGACAAACGTAAATATGTGGAAGATTTAGCAATGACGGCGGAAAAGGCTGCAAGAGAAGGAAACATGAGACAACTGTATGAAACAACAAAGAAACTCTCTGGAAATCAACGTAAACCAGAACGACCAGTGAAAAGCAAGGAAGGCAAGATAATCACCAACATTGAAGAACAACGAAACAGATGGGTAGAACACTTCAAAGAACTCTTGAATCGACCAGCCCCACTGAACCCACCCAACATCGAAGCAGCACTCACGGACCTCCCAATTGATGTTGGCGCACCAACAATTGAAGAAATCAGCATGGCTATCAGACAAATCAAGAGTGGCAAAGCAGCAGGACTAGACAGCATTCCAGCAGAGGCACTGAAAGCAGACGTAGCGGCAACTGCAAGGATACTCCACATTCTCTTCAGAAAGATCTGGGTTGAGGAACAGGTACCAAAAGACTGGAAAGAAGGACTTCTAGTCAAAATACCAAAGAAAGGCGATCTCAGCAACTGTGACAACTACAGGGGAATCACTCTTCTCTCAATACCAGGAAAAGTCATCAACAGGGTATTGTTAAACAGGATGAAGGACTCCGTAGACGCCCAACTTCGAGACCAACAGGCAGGATTCCGTAAGGATAGATCGTGCACAGACAAAGTCGCAACTCTACGGATCATTGTGGAACAATCAATTGAATGGAATTCATCACTCTATATCAACTTCACTGACTACGAGAAAACATTTGATCGCGTGGACAGAACAACCCTATGGAAGCTTCTTCGACACTACGGCGTGCCTCAGAAGATAGTCAATATCATAGGGAATTCCTATGATGGATTAAACTGCAAAATCGTGCATGGGGGATAGTTGACAAAGTCGTTCGAAGTAAAGAGCGGTGTTAGGCAAGGTTGCTTACTGTCACCCTTTCTCTTTCTCCTGGTGATCGACTAGATCATGAAGACATCAACATCTGAAGGGAAGCACGGGATACAGTGGATAGCTAGGATGCAATTGGATGATCTAGACTTCTCAGATGATCTGGCTCTTCTATCGCATACACAACAACAAATGCAGGAGAAGACAACCAGTTTAGCTGCAGCCTCAGCAGCAATAGGTCTCAATATACACAAAGGGAAAAGCAAGATTCTTCGATACAACACAACATGTACCAATCCAATCACAATTGACGGAGAAGCTTTGGAAGATGTAAAAACCTTTACATATTTGGGCAGTATCATCGATGAACACGGTGGATCTGATGCAGATGTGAAGGCACGGATTGGCAAAGCAAGAGCAGCATATTTACAACTGAACAACATCTGCAACTTAAAACAACTGTCTGTCAACCAACACCAAAGTCAGAATTTTCAATACAAATGTCAAGACAGTTCTACTGTATGGCGCGGAAACCTGGAAAACTACGAAATCCATCGTCCAAAAGATACAGGTGTTTATTAACAGTTGTCTACGCAAAATACTTCAGATCCGCTGGCCGGACACTATAAGCAACAACCTACTGTGGGAGAGAACAAATCAGATACCAGTGGAGGAAGAAATCAATAAGAAGCGCTGGAAGTGGATAGGACACACATTGAGGAAAACACCCAATTGCGTCACAAGACAAGCCCTCATATGGAATCCTCAAGGTCGAAGGAGGAGAGGAAGACCAAAGAATACATTACGCTGGGAAATGGAGATAGATATGAGAAAAATGAACAAGAATTGGATGGAACTAGAAAAGAAGGCCCAGGACAGAGTGGGTTGGAGAATGCTGGTCGGCGGCCTATGCTCCATTGGGAGTAACAGGCGTAAGTAAGTATGTTTGAAATATAATGATTCATATCACAGAGGCTGAGACTTGCGTTCTAGACTCAACTGGCTGGGCTAGACAGGGAAGCGGGGCCAATCAGAACTCTAGGCTGTTCTTATGTGTTTTACGCGTCTTTGGTCCGATCGATAATTCGCTGCCTTCACCGTCCTCTACTTGGCGACTTTCAGTTATAACAATTTGATTGTTAGATGTTGTGTTATAATATCAAAGAAACTTACTTATCTCTTTGTATATGTTAAGACCTACTACTGATGAGACACTGCTGTGTAAACATTTATTAGCATACACTATTTAACCAAGACACATAAAAATCAATTTTTTAAAAATGTTTATAAATCACTTTGTTGAAAATGTCCTACCTTACAATAACTTACATGGGTTGTTTTTTTGTTGTTGTTGCTAAGACGTATAGTTTGATTGAAAGGAATCTTCATGTATAGTATTAATAGTATTAGTATTATTATTTGAACATTTTTCATTATTAATTTTAGAATTAATACTTGTAATTTGATTTGTTGATAAAGATAATAATGATTGTTGAATTATTTTTGATGAATTAATTTTTAAATTTTCTAACATAGAATCTTGTGATGGACGTCTAATATAATTATGATAAGATTGACTTTCATTAACTGATGAAATCATATTAGGGAAAAGATTATGATTATTAGAATTTGTTTGATGTATAACATTAGTTCGACAAGAAAATATATTACTAACAGATGATCTTTGAGTTTTTCTAATTCCTTTAGGTAATTGTAATGATGAACGTGGAGTTATTAAAGTATCATGTGATGTTTTAGAGTTACGATGTTTTATACGTTCCGATTTTGGAATAGATGATGATGATGATGATGTTACTGGGGTAGATGAATTAATTTTCTTACAAATATTTGATTCACATTTTACTAATGTTGAAAGATTTACAACTGATTGACTTTTTGAAGCTTTTAATGCACGTAATCGTGTAGTCATTTCTTTTGGAAAATATGATAATTCTGTTATTTAAATAGAGAAAAGGAAAAACTCAGTTGAATTGATGTGAAGTAATTTGAATAAAATTATAATGCGTTTTTCAGGTTATTCAAAAATCTACAAAAAAACAAATCCTTTTTTCTATAACTGGGATCAGATAGATAGACTATTACTAATGCCCCCAAATACCCTGGTACGGTCTAGAGTGGGGAGCGTCCACTCTCCTTCTCGAAATGCTTTCACATGGACATGCGTATATAGCCTCTGCCAGGGAAGTCCTACTCACTGCCTTCTGGCATCACGGGTGTTGTTTACGAAAATGAGAGGATGAAAAGCGAATGTCTGGCGCTTTAACCGGATCTCAAACCAATGGTGCACATGGGCTCCAGTATCCTGAGGGGACAAATGGTGTATGAACCAATCGTTGGTCACCGGCTACCATGCAACTGCATCTCCTCACGATGCTCCATTGCCTTATGGGTCACATCTTCAGGTCGAATGCTCGGGGTGTGGCCCCCTAAGAAAACCACTTGTTTCGGTTTGGGCACCCGGGAAGTGTCATAGCCCTCACACATATCTAATGAGATCTGTGTGGCGTATATGTATCTGGTGCCAATATCTATGTGTTAAAGTAAAATAAAATACTATTACTAATATAAACATCACAAAGAAAGTTATTGTATTACAAATATAAATATTAACAGTGATTACTACGAGTTAATGCTGAACATAAAAATGAAGTAAAATATCAAGTTGAACTTATGAATTATCTATTCGCTGTTGCGTGAATGAAAGTAAACAGTGAATGGTTGTTGTATCCAGATAAACTGATAGACACAGGCAGTCACAATGTAGAACCTGTATGTATGTACATTGGTTCAAGTTGCCATAGCCGATTAGCGCAAAGAGAGGTTTTCAGATAAAACCTCTACACTATAAAACATCGCCCGCCGAGGTAGGTGGTGGTTCAACATGTCCCGACGATAGATGGTCAGACAAATATCTGATGATTCAGATATATATGTTTTTAGACTTTTATACTTACTTGAATGTTTATTTATACATGTGCTAGTCAAGGGAATCAGGTGTTGTTGATTTGTGGTAGTACATTATTTGTTGGCTGAATAACTGGTATAAAGAGGGTTAATCGAGTATCCAATATAATCATTTATTGTTCATTCTAAGTAAACAAGAATTCCATTAGTGTATCAGAAGAAATTGAACGTTCTTTCATTGATGACAAAAACAGTGTGAAATCCGTCAATAATGACGCTATAATTCTGAAATAGTGTCAAAACTACTTACACGTATTACAAGCATCTTATATTGTACATTAATAATAACTCTGTCAAATATAACAATATTATTCAGTCAATAAAAATCACGAATCACGTCTTATCTAATTAACATAAATGTCTTCTTAATTTTGTCTCTTTTCTTATCAATATGATGATTGTAAATTGTAATGAATTCTGTAATTTTTGTCAGAATATATTTATATAACAAAAAATCGTGAGACTTTACGAACAAATCAAAAGGTTTAACGCATGCTTTACACCAATGTGTAGATGAAAGAACAACGACAACGTCATGCTTTACATTACGAACTGATTGTAGTAGGTAGACTACCATTGATAACGAAGATGTGTTTGACACTTGTTTCATTCCAGTGTATAAGATTCTAGAAGTGGACATCTACGACCCCGTTATATGTTGAGCCAAGAACCTACAGGTCTTGCGGAGCACGCTTAGTCTTTACACGACTGAGCAGGTATCCAATGGTCTAAATCCTAGATGACTGCAGTTGAATACGAAATTCCTGGGTTCGAACCTGTGTGATTGGGTTGATGCTGGGGACGTTAGATCCCCAGAACTCACTGGGAAAAGGACTTAGTTTTGTAATTTTATTTAGGAAATTTTGATTTCTTTGTTTTCGCGCTAAAAGCGCTCTTGTCACCATGAGGTATTTCCCACTTGAGAAATATCTTAAATGCTATTGGTCCGTTGCGTCTTTTAGTATGCTATTTGGCAACTCTCCACAAGGACGGTTTTGTACTGTATATATACGTTTTGCTTTGTGTTGTTGTTATCGCTCGTTTCTGGTTGCTTGCATAATATACTACCCCATTCCAAGCTTGGACTTCTTCCTCTAGTTAGCGGGGCTGGGACGCATCAGAACATCTGGCTTATGGGTCTTTGGTCACCGAGTCTATGTTCTCGTTCGCAGATTGAGTGAACTCGTGATAGCTTCAAACCTAGCAGTTGAAGACACCTATTTCTGAAGATTGCTTATACTATGCCAAAACAACTGTTCAATACTTCCTTGTTTTAAATGGTCGTCTATCTAAGATCAGTTCGTTGTGTGGACTATGAAAATCAACATCCTTTACAAACTCCATATAGTAGTAATAGTATTTTCATTGAAAACGTTACCTTGTTCAGTAAATTGATTCAAAAAATTCGGCGCCGGTTTACCACTAGGTAAATAACCTGTTGCATCGATTGAATGACCAGGAGGTGGCAAGATAAGATCATTAAAAAAACAGCAACTCAAAATATTACAAGCAGTCATACGAGTTTTGGGACTATAAACTAACAATTTTCCAAGTACATAGAATGCTGCTGTGTTTGTACTTCGATTACGAATAAGCTGAAATACAAAGAAGGATGTGGATTATACACATGTACAGTTATCATTATGTACCTTATATATTACTGAACTAAAAACATAATTCACTTTACTTTTCAGGTTCAATAAAATGATTGATTATTGAAAAGGAAAGTTTTGGCATGAATACAAAAAACATTTGTTGATATAATTCGATGGAATGTATTAATTTAACCATCTACAATCAGTTATGTTTCATCTAGTAAAAATACTTATAAACAGAAAAGCTAATCAATATGAAAACTTGTAAAACAAAAGCTTAAATTAAAGAGGAAGAATGTATTTGTAAAATCTTAGCGAATGAATTTGAAATCTAACGTTTCGCCTGGCAATCTGGTTAAAGCTTTTCCTCTTTAATGTCTCATATCAACTTGGCGCCCAAATACAGTGAAACTATTTGATCAAATTCAGACGAAAGTTCTTATTTAAAGAGAGGGAGGCACCAAATATATATGCGCCACACAGATCTCATTTGATTTGTGTGAGAGCTGTGATATTGTTCGGGCGCCCAGACCGAAGCAGGTGGTTTTCTTAGAACGCCACACCCGAAACCTTTGACCTGAAGGTCTGATCCGCAGGGCAGTGGAGCATCATAGGGAGATGCAGTCTCATGGTAGCCGGTGACCAACGATTGGTTCATACACCATTTATTCCCTCAGGATACTGGAGCCCATGTGCACCATTGGTTTGGGATCCGGTTAAAGCGCCGGACATTCGCTTTTCGTCCTCACATTTTCGTAAACAACACCCGTGGTGCGAGAAGGTAGTGAGTAGGATTTCCCTGGCAGAAGCCATACACGCGTGGCCATATGAGAGCATTTGGAGGGAGAGCGGACTCTCCCCTCTCGGCCGTACCAGGGCAACAATGTGAAACTTCAGGTTTTTAACTAGGGTCAGTCAGTCAGTAACAACGTAGAACTTCGTACGTACGTATATCCGTTTGAGTCGCCATACCACATTAGTACAGAGATGCAGTTGTCGAATCGAATTCTGTAGTTGTAGAGGTAGTAAGAGCATAAGCAGTAATCGGAAAGATTAAGGTTTGAAGATGTTATTCAAGGAGTATAATCCAGTGAAATAAATTTAGAAAGAGAAAAAAGAAAGAGGCATGATTGACACAACAAAATGAATTTTTTAAAGATACATGAACATAGTTGGTATCCTCGCCAGAATATTAACACTATGCTTCCACACAATTTTCAAATTCGCAGTCTGACAAGGGCTACAAATCATATTACATTCAATTGAGATCATGAACCGATCAATGTTAGACGACCATTGAAGACCTAGAAGCACTGGACTGCTGTCTCGGACTAGTATGAGACTTCTCAGCAGTGCACATCTACGATCTCACGCGTGTGATTTGTACTCAGGATGGCCGTTCAGTACTTCCAGTGGTGGTTTAATACCGATCGGTTCATGATTCCAAACCAATTCAACGATCACCACAATCCTATACTAAAGATCGTATTAAATAATTTAAAACTATCACAGGTTCCCATCGTAATGTTCTAAATTATAACTGGACAATTCCATGGGCTTGCCATCACATCATATATCAGCGGATGTCGGTTCGGTGGTCTAGAGGTTAACCGTTTGCGCACACGATTCAAGTTTCAGGGCCCATGATAGGATTGTAACTGCCCATTTTTTACTGGTTATATACAAGCAGCTATATACAGTGCTTCCTGGCTTTCAATGGTAGTGTAGAAAAGATCAGTTCGTGATTTAACTTGTGAAAGATGAAAATAGCCCAATAAACAGAAAGGATGGAATAAACAACATAAATTATATAGGTAGTGAGGCTGAAAAAGAAAAGATAAAAAGAAAATAAAATTGATTGGTCACTGAGAAGTGACTAATATCACGGTTGCAACTTAAGAGCTGTCAATCAATTTATATTGACCTATTTGCAATATGGCCACTAGTCTAATTGATTCGACATCACCTACATTATATTGTGATGCTACTTACTTAGTTGGAGGTGGTCGGCAGATATCTCTGAAAGCAGGTTACGTACTAGTACTATGCCGACTATCTAAATCTACCACCTATCATCTCAATATAGTGTAAACGATGCAGAGTAATACAAACCAGTGACAGTATTGGAACTTGATTGATAAAATTCGACTGGTAGCACTGAAAAAGACTGGACAAAAATGACAGTGGTCATTACTCGAAGATCGGTCAAATGTAAATACTGCAGTCCTACAGGCCAGTCGCTTCCCGAACAAACCAGTGATAATGTCTCTGACTGTGAAGCTGGGCGACACGGGATCCAATTCGACAGACAGTATCAGTTCCCTCAATATTACAGGTACACCTAGCTGATGAGTGCCAAATAGAATAGAACGTAGGTACAGAGTATTCTGTTAACTACCTACAACCACATAACACTTATGAAAATGTACAAAATAGATAAAATTGTTTGTCGAGGGCTCTTATGAATGCAGAATAACAAACAACTATAATGGTTATATTAGACTCTCACTTTTTCCCATGAACATCCTTGAATATTTGGAAATTTGAATTCACTATAATGAGGATTCATTTCATGGATTTGTTCACGCGTTGGAGTACCAAGAACTTTAATAATTTCAACTAATTGATCAACTCCTGATTCGCCTGGAAAAAGTGGTCGACCTAATAAAAGCTCACCAATAACACAACCAGCTGACCACATATCTAAATAAACAGAACAAAAAGACATAAATCATTATTAGAAAGGATTTTAATGATACCGTTCCTGATATTCGTGGTTAGCACATGTGGATTATGTGGGGATTGTCTTACTATAGTCATTTTGCCACAATTTATTATAGAACAGGTGGATTTCAGCTAGCAGTGGAATCGAGGACTCATCTTTTGTTTTATTATTACTCGTCAGCTAAATACGCTTGCATTGCAGTATTAATGTCCACAGTGAAATTCAAATTCAATACTCTTTGCTTCAAATATTCGATGCGTTATCCACTGAGCTACTAAGTCCAGGTAGTGATTTACTTGTGTGACGAGTATGATATTTACATCATGTATATATCACGTTCATCCAGTTGAGAATCCCAAATGGAACGAAACGTGGGTCCTGGATTCTACTATTAGCCACAATCTATCTATTCTATAGAAAGATATTTGTTACCCGAAATTATAATGGTAGAATGATTTAATTTGTCATTTAAATTGGTGTGATAAAGAATCAAAAGATAACAAACAAATAACAAACTAATTACTTGTGAAGATATAAAAGAAGAAAGGCTATATATAAATATATAGGAATAGTAAACGATTGACTTTGTTTAATTAAAAGCTACATTTTGGGTTTCATAGATTCAGTAGGAGCTGCAGAATGATTGTAATCGACCTCTAGTAGCAGATATGTCTGGTAGTCTCGAGACACTGAGTGGCACAATGGTTGATACAACCAAGGGATTTCTGACAGACCATCAATTGTCAATCCAATACAGCTATATTTTATCCCACGACAACATGTTGTAAAAACATAGTAATCCACTTTGTACCCCTTGGTTTGGACTTTGGTAAGTATTGTGCGATACGGGACGATGTTCATGATCATCCTATTGGAAATGATATTCAGAAATCGCGGAATCAACCGAATTATCGTTATTATGCCCGAACAAGTCCGGGACTAAACATTATTTACACGGTGTTGCTACTAGATGCGAAAAATTCGCCAGAAACAATAATGATCTAGCATGAAGAATAGTCAAACATCCTTAACTTAGAAAGGACGCTTTTCACAAGCTCAGAGTAGAATCTCTGCCAAATGGAAACAGTTTGATATGTGACAAAACACATTTTTAAGGTAGTTGTTAAAAATCGTAGTTTGGTAACTTTGGGGAAATAATTTCTGAAGTTAAACAAATCAAGTGAACCAGTGTCAATCACTTGATTTCATCTCTGATGAAAACCTTAGTACATATGAGTGGTTTGTAGTATTTATACTGAGATTTGCATTTAGCAAGAAGCAACAGAGCTCTCTGAAGTATAATTTTTACATTTTTTTATACTTTAGATAGGGGATAGTAGGATACTAAAATTTATTGACAGAAGTCCTAAGCTCATGTGAAACACATAAATATGCTTACCTATTTGTACAGTATAGTGAGTAGCCCCAAATATTAGCTCTGGTGCACGATAATACCTTGAACAGATATACGAAACATTTGGTTCATCAGGATTTAACATCTTAGCACTACAATACAAAATTGATTAAAGAACATGTGAGATCAAGGAAAGTGTATTAATTATTCTAAAAAAATCATTTGTTTTCGTCCTACGACATAACTAAACAAATCATAAACCAAACAACTAAATACTTGCTTTGAATTAGACCCGTTATAGGTATTCCTTTCATTATAGAGTCACTGCCATATCAACATTCACGAGAAACGAAAACTTGTATTTAAAAAAACTTGCAAACTTAAAACCCGGATAGATAAACATAACCTAAACTAGTGTTTTTGAATATGTAACACTGAAAAATTTGATAGGAGGGTATATATAATACATATTAATACAGGTTATTTAAAGTATTAACTGGAACGGATGATCTAATCATCACGAAAAAACTGCATAGATTAATATCACCTCTGTGATAGTTGCCCATCAATCAGTTAATCAGAAGGGAATTTATTGAGATCATGAACCGTTCGACGTTAAACCAAAATTAAAAACCTGGAAGGACTGGAAGAATGCTTCATTCTAGTACGATTTCAATAAGAACTAAACAATCTCCACAACCCCATACTGAGAAGAGAATTTATTTAAATTCATGCAAATAGGAAATAAGCTTACATTTCACAATGAATTAATATTTGATGTGATATATGGAATTCGTCACTATACATTAACTTCCTTGAATATGAGAAAGCGTTTAACAGTGTTGATAGGAGAACCTTGTGGGACCTTTTTATACACTATGGTGTAACTGAAAAGATCGTCAACATCATACGGAATTAATACGATGGACTACACTGCGAAGCCGTGTATTGAAGACAGCTGATAGATGCATTCCAATTAAGCAACGGTATGATACAAGGTTGCTTACACTCTCCCCTTCTTTTTCTTCTGGTTGACTGGATTATGAAGACCTCATCTGACGGAAAACAAAGAATACAATGAACAGCTTGGATGCAACTAGATGCTTTGGAATTTGCAGATGAACTGGTCCTTCTATCCCACACACACCTACAAATTCAGTTGAAGACAACCAGTGTTGCAGCAGACTCAGCTACATCAATGTGCCTCAGTATACATATAAGAAAAACCAAAATCCTAAAATATAACATCGAGAACACCAACACAATCACAGTTGATGGGGAAGCTCTAAAAGAGGTGGAAACTTCCACATACCTGGACAACATCATCAACGAACAAGGAGGATCTGATGCAGATGAAAGGGCGAGAATTTGTAAAGCAAGGGCCACGTTTCTACAGTTGAAGAACATATGGAACTCAAAACAACCGTCAGACAACATCAAAGTCAGAATCTTCAAGACTCTTCAAGAATCGTCAAGACAGTTCTACTGTACGGAGCTGAAACTTGGAGAACTACTACAACCACCATCGAAAAGGTGCAAATATTTGTAGACAATTGTCTACGTAAGATACTTAATGTCCGTTGACCGGATATCGTCAGCAATAACCAACTGTGGGAGAGCACAAACCGACTCCCACCTGAAGAGGAAATTAAGAAAGGATGTTGAGAGTGTATAGGACATACATTACGGAAATCACCAAACTGCATCAAGAGGCAAACACTAACTTTGAATTCTGAAGGGAAAAAGGAAAAGAGGAAGACCAATGAACACATTGCGTCGGAAATCGGAAGCAGACATCAAAAGGTTGAATAGCAACTGGAAAGAAGTGGAAAGGATTGTTGAGGACAGAGTTGGATGGAGAATGCTAATGGGTGGCCTATGCTCCTCCACGAGGGGCAACAGGAGTATGTGATATGGTATGATGCCCAATACATAGAATAAAATCTGTTTTATACAAATTTATACTTAAGTTCCATAGTCAATAATCCAGTCAGTCAATTTATTATGAATTGATCAACCTAAAACTTTGGGTGCTTCGATTAGGCTTGATGTGATGACGGATAGTGGAAATACAGATATGGGGTCAGTATTCAACTTACATGCTTGTGGAGAAGACAGCACATTCGATTACTTGTTAAACAGCACTTTATTAAGATATTTTCTGGTATGCTATTGTGAGTCCTGGTAAACGATGTTACATACCAAATTGTTAAATACCTTTGTTGCATAGATGATTCGTTAACATTCATTGGAAATAACGATCGTAGCTGTTACTGTGATATGGTAATGGACCCTGGAAATAATCATGACCCGGCTATTTTATAATACTTGTTAGTGAGGTGAGAAAGTGGTTAGCAATAGTATTTTAGAAAAGATAGTTTCGTCTCGCTCGAGACTCGTCAGGTGGACGAAAAAGGACGTTGCTTTAATTATTGTCTGGGTAATTTTTGCTAGAATATCTTTGAAACAATAGCTGGTTGACTAGATGCTTTAATTCCAACACAGCAGAATGTTCACGATAAGCATTAACTAGTTCGAAGGTCTGCACAAATGAGTGATGATATTTAAGGGTATCGTTATTTAATAAGTCCATTTTTAGATATGAAATATTAAACTAACTTATTGCCAAAGGCTCAAAAATTCCTACTCGTTAGTAGGGATAATGTTGAGAACAATTAGATAAACAAGATAGATGTAATTTGCTTGTACGACTTACCTCCCAAAATCGCAAATTTTTAATAAACCTTGATCTGGATGAATTAATAGATTTTGAGGCTTTATATCTCGATGACATACACCTTGATTGTGAATGTAAGCCAATCCACGCAGAAGTTGAAAACTGTACAACTGCATAATAATAATGATGATAACATTAAGACTGGTGATAACAGTATAGTATTTATTAAAAATTTATCAAATAATATAGAATTGAACCATCTGGAAAAGTCAGTTATCATCAACGTAGAGTTTGGCACAGATAAGAGTTGTTGCAAGTTATCATACCACTTATGTGGCAGTGTCCGTCATTGAAGGCTTTACCAAAGAAGTACGTCAGTCTTGTTCAAGCACTCTACTCAAACACTACTGGTGGAGTCAGAGCTTATGGTGAGCCGTCATCGCAACTGATTACTTCAAGCGATGTTTGTCAGGATTATTTACTTTATATAATTTTTACAAACATGCTTTCATAGATAATGCTTATCGTCTGACTTTTTAAGGGTTGATGTTCTACCAGGAGATTCACCTGCTAATTCAGGATACGAAAATAATATGGGTTTTTTGAGTACACTGCTAAAATAATAGAAATCTATCCGCTAATAAAAAGACAACTTTACTGTTCAGAAGTTCGCTCCGTTCTACTTTGTCGGTGTGAACAATGGTCATAAAAAATAAACGATATTCGTAGGTCACTAGTATCCGACCACAGATATCTTCGAATCATTGCTTATTTTGTTGCGCCAGTCGAGGTTTTTTTATTTGTGATTGCTTATCCGGCCATATAAGTCTGAATCGCTGAGTTTGAGGCCCCAAGTAGATCAGTTGAAGATCTATAAAATCCGAAAACGATGGTGCTTTACTGACTGTTTTTGGAATGCAACAAAACTAGCCGCCTCCAAAACAACAAGGTTTACTGGTTACAACAACAACCACTATAGAGGAAGAGGTTATAAAGGCTGACCGTATGGGAAGTAGATCAACCATTCCTAATGTTGATCTAGTATTGGGCAAGTTGAGAGCGTGGACACGACCACGAGGAACTAAAATGGGACGCTTCCAAAAAGATTAAATGCGAATAGTCCTTGTCAGGATAAAGCTTTTATAGTTAAGCTCCTAGGTCGATAGAAACAAGAGAGTACGGTATGTGCTATGCAATAACAAACCTGAATCACGTTAACAAAACTGCCAGTTAGTAGTTGGCTTCAACCTTGATGATGAGTTACTAGAAGTAGTCAGGAAGTTTGGGCACTTGAAGAGCTGTGTGCATACCAATGATCTGACAACACAGACCGGTGTATGTGTAGCAGAATATATAGCAGTATTCGGCAAACTGAGTCATCCATAGGGGTTTAGTCTGGTTATAAAATAGCACACATTCAACACTGATATGAATTTTCATTTTACACTTTCGCTTTATGAAGTCAAGGATGATTCAAATCAGATCACTTACATTTGGTAACTATCATGTCAGTTATTCAATCATAATTAAAACAGACCCTGTAACAAAGCTGAGTTACCTCAAGTTAGCATACCCGACTATCAGACCCAGAAGTCAATACGAACAAAGGATGGGAGGAAGTTACGACACCATACGACTCAATTCTCAGTTTTTTCTGTTTGGTTTATCCTACCTACTTAAATATTTAAAGCATCCACTACGATTACATCCAAGTTCCTGAAGTTTCTATAAAACTTTTCTTCTGCTCCATCCACTGTCGTGATAGGTTGAAAGGAAAATGACGAACAGTGGACAATGTAGATGAGTATTTGTGAAATTCACAAGATGCTATCAAAACGAAAATTAAAGCGGCTTGTGAAGTCATTAGGCGTTCCACTGAATTTGTTTGTTTCTGTTTTATTAGAAAGTACAAGAGCAGTTGCTGGATCTAGTAACTGCCGGACTCTACTTCAATTCATTCAAGCCAATAACAGCGATAAGCATGAAGAGAGTGAAAACACTGCAAGGATAGTTTTCAAAGACGCCCTGAATGCTGAGAACAAGTTAAAGAGCAGTTAAACTGGTTTACTTTAACTAAACTGTACTATGCTGCACAAATGGTGAATACCTACACACTTGAAACAGAATATATTCAAATAATTTTAGACTTGGAGGTGTCTAACATTATCCAGCTCAAACAATTTACTTTTGATGCTTTCAGAAATGAAGGTGGATACTCACTTAAACAAACGAACGAGTTGTTCGATAAGATATGAAAAATCAGCTGTTTATATTTTCCTGGAGTGAAGTAATTATCGTGAGCTTTTATAAGAACGATATACATAACGCATATGGTAAATCTAAGGTTTTATTTTACCACTAATCACATCTGAATTATTTGCTTTTTTCAATTCAAGTTACCTGCCTCGGTTTGGGCACCCGGGCAGTATCACAGCCCTCACACAAATCAAATGAGACTTGTATGGCGCATATGTATCTGGTGCACTCTTGTACCAATATCTATGTGTTCAAATAAATAAGTAAATATAGGTCAAGTTAGAAGAAATTTGTGAATGGATTGTAAGGAGCAGATTGGTTTTGATTCAAATAGTGGATGCATTTACTACGTTTCTATCTTTTGCTCAAGACAACTTAAACCGATGTGTATACGTACAGGTTCTGTGTTGCGACTGACTAACTGCTCAAGGCTTCAAAACTATCACATCATCAGCTAACAAACACCGGGTTTAACAAACAAAACCGCAATCCACTGATGCAACAAAAGTCCTCTAACTATTTATTTGAGAAATTTGTTAATATCTTAACCACTAAATGCCCTGATACGGCCGAGAGTGAGGAGAGTCCACTCTCCCTCTTTTATTATTTATTTTATTTTATTTGAACACATAAATATTGGTACAGGGGGGCACCAAATATATATGCGCCACACAAAACAATGATAATTTGAAGAGAAGGAGAAAAGAGAAAAAAAAAGTAATGAACGTGGGGAATTATAGATAAAAAAAGAGAGAGAGAACAATGATGGGGAAAACGGAAAGGTACAATCATAAGAGATCTTTCAGTTAAGGAAGATACAAACACTTTTTATGAAGAAAGTAAAAGAAGGTTACAGCAGGATCGCCACTGGCTTCTATTCTGAGCCATATCTGATAACGTCTCTAGCCACTGTGTTACACCGTCTCTCGGACCCCAACCAGGGAGTCGTGAAGGACCAACAGAAGCTAGCCCTTTGCAGCTTTCTTTCATACCACGACACCATGTCATATACTGACCACCTCTCCGCTTTTTCCAACCAGTCCCAGAGTCGGCAAATAATGCACGATGAGGAATTCTCTGGGACGACATTCGTAGAACATGTTCAAGCCACCGAAGTCGGTGTTTAAAGATGGTGACACCAATTTCATTATCGTCTCTGTGACCGAACACTCGATGTCGAACCTCTGCATTACTGACATGGTGTTGCCACTGGATGCCAGCAATCCTTCGGAGACAACGATGATCGAACACAGAGAGTCGTCTAACATCCTCAACTCGGAGAGGCCAGGTTTCACAAGCATAGAGCAAAACTGCTCTCACCGTCGCGTTGTAGATCCGAACTTTTACAGCCAGACTAACATCACGAAGGCGCCGAAGATGGCCCAGATTGGTTTAAGCCGCTCTGGCTTTCACTATACGTGCATTGATCTCATCACTCACACCACCACCAGCACTTATGCAGCTACCCAGATACACGAACTTCTCGACTACTTCAATCTGCTTGGGCATTCTCGCACAGTAAGACAATATCATCCGCATACTCAAGGTCGACAAGTCTTTCTCCAGGCAACAGATCCACACCACCATTACTTACATCCGTCAGAGCTGTTTCCAGAATGTCATCGATGGCAAAGTTGAAGAGGAATGGTGAGATTGGGCAACCCTGCCTAACCCCACTGCTCGAATGGAATAGTGGAGAAAGGTGGTTGTATGCCCTCACTCTGCCTGAGGTGTTTGTGTATAGGGCTTTTAGGATGTTAATAAACTTCTCAGGCACACCCTTCTTCAATAGACAATCCCAGAAAACAGTTCTGTCCAACGAATCGAAGGCAGCCCTGATATCAAGAAACACTACGATTTTTGGCCTTTGATAAGTATGGCGGTGTTCTAACACTTGGCGGAGGGTGAAGATATGATCAATACATCCTCGACCAGAACGAAACCCAGCCTGCTCCTCGCGAGTCAATCCTTCTCGGGTTCTGAACAACCTATGAAGTATGACGGAAGCCAATAGCTTGGACGCAATCGGAAGTAGACTTATCCCCCGATAGTTGTTACAGGAACAACGTGAACCCTTTTTAAAGATAGGGACAACTATCGACTCATTCCATGACGTTGGTACACTCTCGAGTTCCCAGATCTTTGTAAACAACGTCGTCAGTCCCTTAGTCAGAAAGTCACCACCATCTTTAAAAAGAGCCGGAGGTAAGTCGTTTGGGCCCGGTGATTTGTAGCGTTTCAAGAGTTGGAGTTCCTTGCGGACTTCCGCCTCATTTGGTGGATCAGTCGTCACCGGCCATGGAGGGCAGGACAGTCTGACCGATGTTGCCGGAGCAGCAGGCCAGTTGAACTGCCCTTCAAAGAATTCTGCCCATCGTCCAAGACGTCGATGGATGTTAGTGATTGGCGTTCCGTCATCCTCGCAGATTGTTTCGCTCACACCAGACTTCTTGCTGCCAGTGGCTCGGATGAGTTGGAAGAGCTTCCGGTAATTACCAGATGCAGCTGCTGCTTCCAACTCACTGGCACTCTCCGACCACCAGGCTTCTCAGTCCTTACGCAAGCTTTGCCCGATTTCATTACGTAACATCCTTCGTCTGTGGTCAAACTCACGGTCACCCGGAGTAGACCGACGGGCTTCAATCAGTTGTAAGGAACCAGAAGAAACCCAGTGCTTGTAAGCGGGACGTTTCGCGAACCCACAACAGACTGTACCCGCCATTTTCATGGCGTCATGCGATTGCGACCAATGCTCATCTATACTTTTCGGTGGAGTGGTAGCTAGCCTAGAAGCTAGCTCGGTTCGGTACATACTAGCAACAGAAGTTGCAGCCAGCTTGCTAACATCAATCCTGTGGTGGCGGTCACTTCGTTGTCCACTGAAAAGTAAGGTAAGATTGGCGCAGACCAGAGCATGATCAGATTCCAGATAGGTACTCCAAAAGGAGCGGCAGTCTTGTACACAACCGCGCCAGCGGTAGTTGATCGCGATGTGATCAATCTGAGTCCAGGCTTGAGATGCAGAAGGGGGACGCCAGGTGACACATCGGCGATGACTGTGCCGAAAGTTAGTGCTAGCCAGAAACAGGTTGTGGTCTGTGCATAGTTGCAGTAGACGTTCCCCGTTATCTGTCCTGCGACCAACGAGTCCCCATCGGCCACCTAAACGACTCTCTTCTGTGCCTAGACGCCCGACCTGAGCATTCAAGTCTCCGGCTAGTACTACAATATCTGTCGAACGCACTTTCTGGAGAAGAACAGTTAGCTGGTGGTAGAACTCGTCCTTGATTGCATCCGGGCTACAATCTGTCGGGGCATAGGCGGAGATGACGAAAAGACATCGTTTCTCACGCCGATTTCTTCTCCCTTTGATGGAACTTTCTAATCTAACAGCACATAACCGACTGTTAATGGGGATTCAGTCGACTAGTGCTGCCTCAGCTCTTGCGCTTAGTGCGACACCAACGCCAGCAAGACCAGACGAAGATGCCACAGGGTCCCCGGATAAACGCACATAAAACAAGCTTTTTGAAGCAACAGATGGAGAGCAAACTTGTAGTACTTCACCAGAGTTTTGAATACGGGTCTCCGATAGACAACACACGTCAATATTAAGACTTTCCAAAGACATAGCCAGCCCTATCTGTTGTCCGACCTGCATAAGTGTGCGAACGTTGAAGGCAGCCAGTTTGAATGGTGTACGTGGTTTCAGAAAAACTGCTTCAGTACTCATATTCGGTGGTAACATACAATTTTCAACCAGGCAGTGACTCGAGTCGTTTAGATAAAGCTGAATTTTCACCATAGGTGAGCTGCTGTCTAGGTCGAAATGGATACATAAAGTAGGAATAAGAGAGGGTGAATAAATGACGTGGTAGAGTAATAATAATAATAATAATAATAGTACGAGTTATTTCAATGTTAATCAGATAGAAAGGAATATTTTCCATAAGCAAATTGTTCATCATAGTTTTAGTGAGTGGGCTGGGATACTGCCCGGGTGCCCAAACCGAAGCAGGTGGTTTTCTTAGGGGGCCACACCCCGAGCCTTTGACCCAAGGGTCTAGTCCACAAGGCAGTGGAGCATCGTGAGGAGATGCGGTCCCATGGAAGCCGGTGACCAAAAGTTGGTTCATACGCCATTTGTTCCTTCAGGATACTGGAGCCTATGTGCACCATATAATTGGGATCCGGTTATAGCGCCGGACGTTCGCTTTTCGTCCTCTCATTTTCGTAAACAACACCCCCGCCACGAGAAGGCAGTGAGTAGGACTTCCCTGGCAGAGGCTGTATAGGCGTGGCCGTGTGAGAGTATTTCGAGAGGGAGGGCGAACCCTCCCCGCTCTCGGCCATACCAGGGCATTTGGGGGCTCTCCCTCTTTAAATGCTCTCACATGGCCACGCGTATACAGCCTCTGCCAGGGAAGTCCTACTCACTGCCTTCGCGTGGCCGGGGTGTTGTTCACGAAATTGAGAGGTCGAAAAGCGAATGTCCGGCGCTGTAACCGGGTTAGTGGACATGGAAAGTCCACCTAGGGGATTTGGAAAACCCTCATTGCAAATCAATGGTGCACATGGATTCCAGTATCCTGAAGGAACAAATGGCGTATGAACCAATCGTTAGTCAACGGTTACCATGGGACTGCATCTCCTTACGATGCTCCACTGCCTTGTGGATCAGATCTTCAGGTCCAAGGCTTCGGGTGTGGCGTCCTAAGAAAACCACCTGCTTTGGTTTGAGCACAGGAGCAGTATCACAATCCACACACAAATTAAGTAACTTGTGTGGCGCATATATATTTGGTGCCAATATCTGTGTTCAAATAATAATAATAATAATAATAATAATAATAATAATAATAATAATAATAATAATAATAATAATCTTGGTTATACACAATACTTTATACAAAATGCAAACACTTATTTAACTTATTTACTCAGCACATGAAATCGAATCTGAGCCACAGTGTTTGTGCGGTTAGTAATAATTCATACAACTAAAGTGAATTATGTATTATTCGAACACGTTGAAAGTCAGGTACTTCAACCACTAAGTCATTTTTAACATTTTTACGATTCCAAACCAGTAGTGAAGTTAAACAGGATTATTTGATGGTGATTTTGTCATCGACGATGTACTACAAATAGCTTTGAAGTACGTGATGATGGTGTACACCTGTGATACTGGGCAAAAAGTTACTACGCAGCAAAATAAATGATAGCTAGATCTCACTTATTTAGTTTGTAATTGGCGTTAGTAAGATATGTACTTTGTATCATAGAAATCCAAAGTAAAATTGAAGGCTGGGAGGAATTATATCTACACTTTATGGAAAGTCACCAGACGTAATGGAGAAGTTTGAGTGAGTAGCTGTGAGAGCTACTAGAGTTGATGTAGACGATGAGGCCAACCTATGTTTAGTGAAAGATAACTGCTTGTACTAATTCGAAACATTTCTTGTGCCGTTGCGAAAAGTTTGCCATATTAGGGTGAGTGAACACATTGTCTCCGTAAAATGTCACACTATTAACCTGTAAAATGTGATCTTTCTGAGACAATGATTTTTGCTGACTCTTTGTGATTAAGGTTACTTCGTTTCGTATGTTGCTACCTTTAAGAATTGATTATGTCGTATCCAGTAGTTTTAGTATTGAGATAGAACAACCCATCTAAAAGCAATAACGAACACTACTTAAATGGTCAGCCTACAACATTAGCTTGATAGTTTGACCATGACTTAATTATGGTTTCTGTGTGGCTTTGCACTGCAAATGTATAAGTAAAGAGGTGACATGATCCAGGAGAAAGGCAGCTGTGTTCAAATAGCATACCTTGGTGCTCTATGGATCTTTGAATTATATAACTGAGTGATTTGAGGTCAGAAATTCAGTAACTCAAAAGAAAAAATCTACATAAAAATTCAAGAAGTCGATGTTTACCAACTAATATCTTCTTACCTTAACATATACAAGTGGAATTATCTGTCGAATACGCCAGTAGTGTTTGATAAGGCGACTCAATGTTTGAGGAATGTATTCTTGTATTAAATTTAAGTAAGTCTCATTTGGTTTCTATCGGGCAGTTAACAAATAAACTACTGAAACTTACTGATGATGTTGAATAAAAGTAATAATACAGAGAAACAATATTGCAGTGCTTAAGTTTTCGAAGTATCTGTAATTCACGGTTCTACAACAAAATTTTAGTTAAGAAATGAAAATCACCAACTTTATAACGCTTATCTTGCAGAACCTTTTTAATTGCTACTTTGCGATCGTCAGACAAAGTAGCAACGTAAACAACACCAAAAGAACCGCTTCCAATAGCTTTTTCATCTGAATACGTGATTTGTACGGGACAAGAAGTATCACAGTTAACTGCTTCAACCCATATAGACTTGGGTTTATCATCTGACAACCAAACGTAAAAGTCAAAATATTTATGAGAAGTACACAATCTTTACGTATAAAGCTAAACGATCAAGTATAGTATGTCATCACTAGGAAATATTAGCATTATAACAGTCGCATCAAGCACAACAGGGATATATATATATATATATATATATATATATACCAGCTAGTTTCTTTCAATCGCTTATAAGATTTTACCCTGTTTATTTTGTAGGTAAGCATGTTAGTTTATCATATGAGAAAACTATTCATCTGGTTAGTGGTTTTCTTTTTGACTTCTAATTATTCGGGGGCCTAATTCATATATGGTGTCGTGTATAGTCATCACGGTCACATTATATCATTGCATTCATCTATGGATTTTAACAACCACTATTACAATCTTAAATGTACATTTACGTATATCTAATTTTTAAGCAATAAAAGCAACATATTGATGAATACGAACAAGTATATGTATGGAGTTAAGCTAATTTAGTCTAGTTTAAAATAATCCATACTGGCAGGACATTTTGTAATAGATAATCACGTTACAACTCACTCCTAGAGTTCAGAATATAATTAGAACAATTACACAAGTTCGTAGGGTTAGTACTTCTACATTTACGACGATGCTCGATCATATAATGAACGGGAGTTAAATCTATAAACATGTGGTGGTTTATTTACGCATACGATGATAAGAAATGATATTTTTTTGACGACCAGGCCAGCACAACTCTAAAGATATGATAGACGAGTTCAAGAACCAAGGATGAACCTTATCCACAGGTAATTTGTGTCTTTTAATGCACAGATCAATCAGTCCCAATAAAAATAGACTCTGTTACAAATGTGGACTAGAAAAAGTTGCTATACCATACTAACAAATCAACATAAAATTGATAAACATAATAGAGCAGAATCAGTAGTACTGGTGTGAATATTAATGAGAAAGACTAGATATTGAGAAATATAATCAGGAGAGAAGTTACAAAATGTGTGAAGAGATACTAGAACACAAGATTCAGAAAATAAAATGAATGCATTTGCATCTTTGTGACCGATTATGAGCACAAAAGTTACATTAATGATAAATTGTCATAGCTTGCTACGCGAGACTTAATGTAAGCGTGTTAGCAGTCAGTGAAATGGTCTACCTATTCAATGTCTTCAGACTCTTGAATCACCTAGACAAACAGATTTTGTTTTGGTGGTTTTGGTTACCAATTATTCCAATATGAAGTCTGATAATTAAGAAATGAAGTTGTCAAAATATAGCCATATGTTGGACCGAGTGATTGTGCTATATAGCTTAGTAATTCTAATTTCGATAATTTCCTATTAAATCCTCCTTGGGATGATATCACAGATCTAGCAAGCTTGGTGATGTACTCCAGGTCCAGGCAAATAAAAGTATACGATCCAAGAATCTCTTCTAATTGACTTGACTTTTACCAGACAAGATCTCAAGGACAAATAGTAGCTGAGTTAATTTTCACTGGATACTAACTCTGGGCAAACAAAATAAGGGGAATTGGTGTTGATACAGAGTCAATATCTATTAATATGATAAAGTGACCCATTTCCCTCGATCATGTATACTACTGTGAGGTTTAATCAGGCCGGAAATGGAAAATTGTTGGAAAATTGCCGTCTAGATGTATCTCGAAGATACGAGCATGTACTAAGGACCTACTACTGAATAAAGGGCTATATAGCCCTTTGGTCATATTGCCAATCGTAAAATAAGTTACAGGTTGGTAATTTTGAAGAAATAAATTAAAGGCTATTGCGAAAATAATTCGATGTTCTAAACTAACCTTGTTTTCCATCTGGGAAACAACGGATGGGATCCCTAAGTAATCATGTAATAAAAAGAGAAAAATGAACATTAGCGACCCATTATATGTGCAATCAGTAGAAATAATGATTTTGGCTTACTAGGAATTTTTGAAAGACAACTATCAATAGATTCGCTGTTCGCTTTTGCCTTCAATTCTACAGAAGTCATAACACTGCGTAATTTTGGAAACGCGCCAACATTGCCGATTCCGCCAGCGCGCGGTGGACAAGATAGAAGTAAAGACAAAACCGAAGTCTCGTAACCCTTCCTCGTGCATCTTTTTGTACACTATGCTTTAAATTTGCATTTTGTTCTCACACTAACTTAGTTTAGCATTTTTCTAAAGATGATGCACTTTAGCATGAGCTTAAAGACTCAAACATGAGTTATATTACCAATCGAGCGGATGTATAATTAACATTGTAAAGTCGACTAGGTATATTGTGGGCCGGAATAACGGCCAGGTTTGCGTTCATGTAATCAATAAACTTGTAAAATTAAAATATTTTTTCATCAAAAATTGAATTACGCTGTCGCAGTTGTCGTAAGACAGACCGTTAGTGGATGACGGGGAAAGGTGCGGGGCTAAGTTTAGTTATGGTAGTTGTTTTGTAAACCATGTATTGATTCCTAACTGACTGTGGTTTTTGGCCTCTTAACAACATCGTTTGTCCTCTGTTGGGTAAGTTTTAGTGACCCATAGTTTGCTTTTTGGTTTTACAGACTTAGATATCTATATTTAGCTACTCGTAATAACCTGTCTGTTCACATGAAACAATGATCACGATACTCCTTAGTTTAGCACGCTTAGTTGTTGTATAATACAGTTAGGTCGGAATAATAATAGTACTTGAAAGAAGCGATGGGCGGTATTCAAATCTGATACTGAGATACGGTATGCCACGCACTAACCTCCTAAATAACAAACTCAGTGAAGATATAAACGTGAGTTGGAAATTGCATTGGGATATCGAATGAAATGCACAAATACCCACTAACACATATGCCACTCTATCCTTAAGAACTTAACCCGTATCTCAGCCAATGAAATGCAATTTTCTTTTAGCTCGCATCCGATTAACATAGATTAAACTCCTTATTAGGCTACATTTGATTGGCTTTCCATGTCAAACATAAGTTAAGTAACAAGAGTTGTTTAATTTCTCGTTCCCTTTAATGTATTTAAGCGTAAAAATCAGGTAACGATAGGCGTGGGATTCTGTAATCTTAAAAGAGAAGTGTTGCACGTCCTAATTATTCACGAGTGGCTGCGAATCAACATTAAAATTTTATTTGACTACTGGCAATGTTATTTTATTCTATAGCGAATCTTCTCGCATAATTTGCCGTGAAACAAGACGCAAAAACATTAGAGTACACATATCGGAGCAAACGAATGAGTCTTACAAAAAGTTATCAGAAACATACTGTGGTGCGCGCTACTCTTATTGATACAATACGTATTATATAACGCGGGTTAAAAACCTAATGTCCGGCAGCAGAAGATGGGGGAAGATCAAGAAAGGAAGAGTGGGAACACAATGGAATTTGCACGAAAACGTATGAACAATGAAATGTCAGACAATGGATTGATGTTTGCATCAAGAACAGTTCAGTTTGATTTGATGGGTTGATATTTTGCAAATTAGCGATTTAATATATGGTTTTTCTAATTTACCAATTAACTCTGTAATTTCGAGATAAATATAATTCGGTTGTCCTCATTAGTGTTCTTCTTCACTACAACACTACGCTTTGAACAGGTTCTGATAGATGACTTAGCCTTTAATTAGTATCCATGAAGACGTTAGTAAATCACAGTTGTATCAATTCTTCTTTGCTTAAAAACATGTAACCTGCTAGTATATTTATTCCGTGTTTCGGCTAAAGCCAATAAAATGTGTTTGATTAGAGTAGAAGTTAAATGAGCCTTCTCAAAACTCTTTGTAAGTTGTTTCTTCGTCAGAATTGTGTGACTATGGAACTATTTACACGAAGCAGTATCAACAGTAACTTCTCCAAAGTATCTAAAAAGCGGGCTAGACGTTCATTTCCACCACTTCCACTACTTATAAGTTACTTTTTTTTGCCCCGAAAAGATATAACAAGGACTACAGTTTGACATTATTAGTGTGAAAGTTGTAAATAGAAATCTGGTGGAGACGTTTGTTTAATATTCTGTAATAAAGTAATCCCTGAACAAATTTTCAAATCTGATGCTAGTATGATTTATCAGGTTAACTGTCGTGAGAAATCTATGAAATGTGAACCTCTTAGCATTTGGTTCTAATTTTTTAACTGACATTTGACAGCGATGCTGTACACATGTTTGTTCTTTTCATGAAGAATATACAGACTTGTATCTGTGTATATATCACCAACGTCCGGACATCTAGAAGATCCCAGGGGGCAACAGCATTGATTTTAGCTATAAATAAACAACACATACATAGGTGTCTGATATCTACAACAAAACACAGAACGAAAAAGATTGACAACCCATCAAATAAAACACTTAAGAACAATACTGATATGAGTAGCGGTCGTTACGTCCAAGTTTTTTCCCCTTCCCGTTATTGAAGTACGGTATATCGATGTATTTGCAATTTACGAACCCAAATTAACAAGAGAACCAAACTCCAATTTAGCTACCAGAATTTATTCGCAATTTACAAATAGTCGACCCAAGTGTCGTTCTAGCAACAATTATTACAATAATTACAAAACAAACCTTCAATTTTGTAGGTTTCCGGAACAAAAACTCCCAAATACCAAACCAGAAACAAAGGAAAACCAAAATGTTCGAAAATAATGATATAAATAGGTAAGTTCGGAAGTTGAGTAAAACAAATACATACAAAAAACATTGAAATTAATAATATTTAATATAGGGGTTTTATTCAGCCAAATGTATTCAGCTCTCCCGTAACACTCCCAACCAAAAGAACCTTGGTTCCTTTCACAGACAAATAAATAGGTAACAATAATCTTAGTATATGCATCACAAGCAATCGACAACAAGCATTCAGTACCAACAATCTCGTGATCTCTAGGACTTACACCAGTACGCCTAGGGACCCGAGTAGCTACCTATCATCTACAGCTTCAAGAAGACACAGTTTTCGAATATCTCTCACTAGGATCCCCTTTCTTGTCCTCAGTTCTACCTGTCTCACTAGTTTATCCTTACTTGGAATCACTCTCTGTACTAGACCTAAGGGCCATTTGTTTTTCTCGGAGAAGTCAGAACATATCATTACTAAGTCACTCTCCCGTATGTTCCTCTCTAGTTGGGTCCACTTGTATCTACGCTGCAACAGCGAAACATATTCCTTAGACCAACGTCTCCAAAATACTTGTGCCAAGTAATTCGCTTGCTTCCATCTCTTAGAATACCTGTCATTAGATAGAGTGTTAGTGAATTCTGCAACGTTCTCTCTCAATAGTAATAGTTTTGCTGGTGTTATTGCATCGAGATCATTCGAGCCGTCTGTAACGAGAACCAAAGGTCGATTGTTAATTATACGCTCAGCCTCTATCATGAAAGTATCAAGGCATTGATCTGTCAAGGATTGTTCCTTTACAAGAGCACTCAATACCCTACTTACAGAGCGAATCATGCGCTGCCATACTCCTCCCCCATGACTAGCAGCCGGAGGATTGAAGTACCAGTCAATCCCTTTTCTTAGTAAATCGGAGTGTATACGCTCCTTTACCCAACCCTCAAGACATTTTCTTAGTTCACGCTCAGCCCCCACCAGATTTGATCCATTATCACTGTATATCTCTTTCGGATAGCCTCTCCTATTGACAAATATCATTAGTGCCATGATAAATGAGTCTGTGGTAAAACGATATGCCATCTCCAGATGCACAGCTCTCAACCTTAAACAAGTGAATACACAACCATATCGCTTCTCGGTATTTCTACAATGTTTAACCATAAGGGGTCCAAAATAATCTACCCCAACTGATAAAAATGCATAGTCACCACCTTCTATCCTGATCGGGGGTAATGGTGCCATTAGTTGATGAATGGGACGGGCGTTTCTCCTTTTACAATAAACACAATCCTTAATCACTCTCCTCATGGCTACACCACCCCTCAGTACACAAAATTTTTCTCGGACAGTTGCCATTACTTGTGTAGCTCCAATATGTCCCTCCAAATATGGTAATACGTAGAATCAAATTTGTAATTGTATGTTTCGATGATAATATTATAGGATGCTTCCTCGACTCGGGCCAGGAACTAATTTGAAGTCGGCCACCGACACACAATAATCCGTTTATCACCATTGGATTTAAGATTCGTAAGGGTGAATTTGTTATTTTCACCTCGCTATTGGTATCAGACGACAACATTTCAATCTCTTTCCGAAACGCTATGCGTTGGACATATCGAATTAAATCCAAACAAGCTAAATTTAACTCATCAACTCTGAGCATACCCACATGTAGAGACAGATCAGTTCTATCAGAACGCGTTATCAATAAATATCGCTTAAATCGGGTTAATCATGCAGTAGCCTTAAGTAATCCAGTTCAATCTGAATAATAATTAATAATTAGATTGACAGTGGATTCTTCAACCATTACATGCGTTGACATTGCCTTCTTTAATTCCAAGAGATGGAGTTCAGGACCTTTCACATCTGCATCAGACCAACAGTTCTTTGGCTTCTTCAAAAAATGTGTACCCTCCTCCCATACCTTGACATCATCGATGTTGAACTTGACCCCTCCGAATGCAAAGTCTGCTATGTTTTCCTTAGAAGGTACGAATCTCCATTGGTCCACCTTAGTAAGACTATGAATAGTCGAAATCCAGTTTGCTATGAATGCTTTAAACTGGCTTTTCTCATTTCTAATATAATGTAAGACGATCAAGGAATCCGTCCCAAACCTCTGCAAACTCAATATCTAACTCGGACTGCAGCTGAGACCCCATGCGAGCTGCTAACACTGCTGCCGTAAGTTCCAAGCGCGGTATAGCTTGAACCTTCAAGGAGGTTACTCTTGCCTCAGCCGTAATAAGACGAGAACATATTTGAGTGTCATGGATGTAAGAGCGGACGTATATCGCTGCACCACATCCAGTTTCCGAGCCATCACGGAAAATATGAAGTTCCAGGAGCGAGCGGTCTGATTGCGGAAACAATACACAACGTGGAAAACTAAAGTTCTCAACCGTCTGAAATTCACTTAAAATCTCTAACCAGCGTTCGCTTTCCTTACTTGGAATTTCTTTGTTCCATCCTAGTCCCAATTTACCTAAACGTTAAAGTAACTGCTTCATAGGAAGTATAAACGGAGCTAACAATCCCAAGGGATCGTAAAGTGAGGCTACACGCGACAATATACCTCGCCTATTGAAGGGGCGTTTCGGTATGCGAACTTTAAATTCAAACAAATCAAACA